GTTCAGTGGCCTCCTTTGGAGACATGAGGTTCTTTTACGTGCCGTAAAGCTACGACACGGGATCCACGGCTTAAAGTTCCTCCCGGAGGACTCGTTCCCTGAATTTTTCCGCCCTAAAAAATTCCACGACCTCCACCGGGTTTGAACCCGCGTACCTTGAGTCATGAGGTGGGAACGTTACCCCTAGACTACGGAGGCCGCTAGCTCCATGAGTAAGTTAGAAACTAAATAATGTATGCCTCAAACGTACACCACAGCCTTCTTCACTCCGGTATAAGAATTGCCTAGGATGGACGTTCTTTCAGTTTGCATTGTCAGATTGAAACACTTTCTTTTAAATGTTTACCGTAACCGAAACTGTATGTGACGTAAGCACAAATTTCCCTCCTTCATATTTAAATCACACAAAATAATTTAACACAACGCGGAAAAGCAATTAGAGGCGAATCCAGTCCACATCCCCATTCCTTTTTTATTTAAAATCCATTTTAATAATGTCTTCCCAACTGAGACCATGTACGTGACGTAGTCTCTTCCCTTTAGATTTTTCGACTAATATTACGCACATCTTGACTCCCTCACTCATCCTATCCTCCTTGATTAGATCGCCATGATGATATCTGGTGAATAATGTAAATTACAAATAATCTTATTATTCAATTTTCTCCAGCCCCCCCCCCCCCCCTCCCCCTCCCNGTATCTCTGCCCTCATTGGTTCGAATACCCTCTTCAGTATTCCATTCTCAAATACACTATCTCTTCTTCCATTAATGTGAGCTTTCGGGTTTCGTAAATGGTGGGAAATTTCTTGACTAGCTGAGGAATCTTCAGGTGTTTCAAGAACAATGATGTATTGAGTTTATTAATAGCGTCGAAGATAAGAAACTGCAATTAAATCCTATGCTAAAACTTCAGTTTTACTTAAGCCTAACTCTTAAACACCCCTTGTCGCCAATTATCTCTTTACATCAACACACTTGAAATTTATCTAATGTGTTTATATTCGTAATGTGTAACGGCTTTCAAACTGCTTCCATTTTATAATTTACATGAATATTTGAAAAAGAAAATATACCACCACCGGTACCATCATCATCAGATCTTAATTATCTGATATGGATGTTAAAGTCAGTATTTTTATATCTATTTAGACTTTTACGAACATGTCTACAACAACCTTGATGTAGATGAAAGAATGGTACATTGAATTTGGTCTTGAAGGAGTAGAATATATGTGCCTATGACCCGGATAATTCTTGTTTAGGATACGGTGCAGTGGCGAGCTATTTGTGAACACAGTGTTAGATCCTGTGGTTGCATAAAAGGAGGGAAATATTTTGCCCAGTCGACTGACCCTTGTGTTCTTAAAAAAAAATCTTTACTGCATTCAGATATTTTGTTTTACATAGTACTTTGAAACCTATAAGATGTTTGATACTTGGTTAAAACCCAGCATGTTTCACGTCCGACATAAGGAGGTTGTACACCGACTTTGTATACAAACATTTCCTTCAGCGCTGTAAATCCTTTCGCCAAATTACTCAGAATACACAATACAAGACACAGTATCGAAGTTAACTGCATTAAGTTCCCAGAAGTCAACTACTGCTCGAGTTATAACTCTATGCGAACTTCAATGTCCTTTGACGAAGTGAGTGTGGTACAGATCATGGATACTAACTGGGATGGGTAGCCCCTCACACTGATGCATGATTTTTGTGTGTGACAAGTTGGACATTGATAGACGTTCCGCTGGAGGCCGTGAGAAGGAGACATGATGCCGCAGTATAAAATTGGGAAGACAGAGACGGTAGATGCCACAGCAAGTTGGCTGCCGCCAGAGACACAGACCTGGCCTCATTGTTTCCAAATTGGAAGCGATCTCTGCTCATTAGTCTCTGCTTTGCAACCTGTGGTGACGGGTTGCGGCTGTGCAGTCAGCAAGCATTCACTAATAGCTAAAGGACGCTTGTGGGTTCTGTCCGAAACTGTAAATTGGTGACACAAGAATTGGGTTTGGTTCGATAACTTATTCTTACCGGAAAGAAAAACACCTTGCTCATTTCCTTCCGAAAGCTTTTTATCAGTTAGTGAATTCATTATCTTCACCACGTCGGTCTGACGGTATTACATGCATTAACTAACGTAGGAAATTTATCCATCCAGCTATGACTCTACAGCCAATGTTGACTTTGGCCGCTTTTTTCAGTTTCTTAATTCTATACACAGTCGATAGGACTCCTTAAACCAGTCATCAGCCCGTCGCTACACACAGAACAGTACTTACACAGACATCCATGCCTTGAGTGGGTTCCGAACCCACGATCCCAGTGTTCAAGCTGACGAAGATGAACCACGCGGCCACATGATCGGCCGTATGAAGTTCATAGCACTTATTATAAGTGTATTGCTGAAATAAATGGCTACGATTATTTCGGCGTGTCCGGAAGGCAAACGATGGCCGCGCCATAGCTCAAGCGGTTAGTCACTGGCTTCCTACGGCTGCGGCCCAGTTTCGATCCCGGGTCTGGTCAAGTGGGATTTGTGGTGGATAAAGTGGCGCTGGGACAGGATTTCTCCGGGTACTTCGGTTTCCACTGCCAGTCTTCATTCCACCAATTACTCCATAATCACCCTCACCTATCATCTGGGGCTGGTAAAATAGGCCAGAAATTGCTGCAGTGCAAGGGACTTAGTCCCGCCCCACTAGCAATAAAAAAGCGATGCATGCTCAATTCGTGTGGGGAATCCCATTAGAAAAGCAAAACGAAGGGATAAACTTGGTAATAACATGGAGATGGAAAGAAGATAGAACTCTTAATAACTACCACTGTGAAAACCTCAAATTCCGGAGTATTAAGCTGGATCTTCAGAAAATAGTTCCTGATAATGGAATGTGACAGGGACTGATTCAGAATCATGTCCCTTGAGGCGTTAATACCAGCGATGCTGAATAGAGATCTACTAGCAGACTGCCACTTGTCACTAAGGCTCAGATTTTCCAAACTTATTTCAAAGGATATCATTCAGTTGAAGAAAATATTTCACTCAAGAATAACCAATGATATGTGGCATTTAGTTGCACAGGGACCTTCCCTATGTAACATGATATTAATAGAGTTTTCTCCATTGCGTTCTGTACCTCTTGTATCAAGGTGAAATTTAATTCACGCCCCCTGACGTAACATGTCTGAACGTCATAAGGAATTCTTCCAAGTTACATCGTCAAAGGCAGTACTTTCCTTTAAAAGGGTGCATTTCTCATAGCACCATTATTAGCCAGTAACTGAATTATAACTACAGTAGTAGCCTTGGAATGCGGGTCACTCTTTTGCAAGCAGTGGCATTGGAATTTGGACTCTGAATATTTCATTGCTGTCCTATCCCAGGGGACATTGCCCATAGAGTAATGTGACCTTTACACACCAATATTTTGTTACACTTTCTTTTTCTGTGTGAAGAAAAAATAAACAGGATGTAACAGAACAAAGGGCTAACGAACAAAAGAAAGAAGCCGCTGCAATAGAATACCTGGAGGTAAACATATAGTTTCAAAATTGTAGTGGACGACACCCCTTGTGAGGTAGAATAGAATCTCATAAAAATAATGAAAATGTTAATAGAAAATTTTAATGGATTTTATTTTATTTTATTAAATTAAGTGGACTAAAGTGTGTGATTTAGCGCATATTAATGCAGTGTAACAGTTTTAATGTATTAAGATACCTGAAGATGGCCATCTAGGGCCGAAACATGTTGTGTTAAAATAGTGTAAGTGAAAGAAAGAGAAAAATATTTGTGGCGTTATTGAAGGACTGTGTTATACATAAACGGTTTAAATAGGATATCTGTTTAATAAACAACCCAAAGTATTTTATCAGGCTTTTGTTCACTTTATATTTATTGTTTGAATAATTTGTGTACGAAATAATTGACAAAATTAATTTTTATGATTGAATTTTAGAAATGTGGTTCGAGGTTTTCACGGGAATATATAAATTACTCCCTGATGATGGAGGCAGTGTCTTTCTCCGATATTGTGATAAGCGCTTACCAGATTACACGCTGCCATAAATTAAGAATCCATAACATTAATCAAATAATGATTACCATTCATCATGGATTCACACCCTATACCAGTTAAGGTTTTTGAGTAATACCTCTAAAATACGCGTGTGTAAACACATAAAATATTTTATATATTGGTACAAATTGTGAATATTGCAGTACTTATTCGTTATTCTGGACAGCCTCTGTGGTCTAGTGGCCAGAGTTCCTGCCTACAGATCCAGATGTTCGGGTTCGATTCCGGGCGCTACCAGATTTTCTGAGAAGTAGTGGGTCTGGAACGGGGTCCATTCAGTCTCCTGAGGATAATTGAGAAGCTAGTTCAAGGAAATAGCGGCTCCGGTCTAGAAAACCGGGATTAACAGCCGTGGGGATCTGTTGCGCTGACCACGCGACACCCTCCATCCGCAAAAGTTGGCACTAACTTCGCTGACAAGCGGCGGTTGCTCGGTCGGTATAGTTAGCTTGCAAACTACAGGTCACGGAGTCTTTTTATTCGTTATTCTGCTTGCTTTTGTAGAAATTTCAAATTTTTAAGCTGAAATCTTGGTCACCGTCGAGGTTATCCGGTCTGTAATGCCACGTCTTCTGCTTGCAGGTAGAAGAGGACTGGAAGTACATGGCAATGGTTCTAGATCGCCTGTTTCTCTGGATCTTTACCGTCGCCTGCGTTCTTGGCACGGCGCTCATTATTCTGCAGGCGCCCTCGCTCTACGACACGACGCGTCCAATCGACATTCAGTATTCCAAAGTCGCGAAGAAGAGGATGATGATGGGTCCTGAAGAAGACTGAAGATTTCGAAAGTTGTGGATGATGGTGCTTCGTAAAGCACTTGCTAATTAAATTTCACGCCCTTCTTGTGCTCATTAGAGGAAAAATTATTCACCGTGAAGTTCACAGTTAAATATTTTTCTCGATATTCCAAACATGTTCAATATCCTCTTTCGATAAATGTTATTGGTGACTAGTTCCTTGAGCAGCCAAATAATATTTTAAGCTCTTCTTGAAGGATTTGCTACCAAATTTTCGACCATTACAAATTATCAAATTTACTTTCGAAAAATTGGAAATACACATTTCCATTTATGCCTCAAATTTAACTGGATTTGAAGTTGTCGCAGCGATAACTGTGGATAGTACAGTCTGCTGGTTATAACGCCGTGTATTTCGAAGAGGGATCGACGTTTCGGAGGATATACTGCCTCCATCTTTAGTTTCGAAGAATAAGCAAGACAAGAAAACAATAGTAACAGGAGACAAGTTAGTTTTTCATAAGCGGTTCGCTTAACTTGCCGCCCGCATCTGATGGTTTCTTCCTTCGATTTGATTTCGATACTGAAGATGGAGGTGATATTTTTCTTCGAAACATCTTATTCTCTTCGAACTATACGGACGTAGGCAACGCAGGAGACCTTACTCTGAATTGAACTTTATTTGCGAAAATACTTTCCAGGTGGTCCAGAGAATTTGAATATTTTCTACTATATTTTTCTAAGGGGAATATTACAGCGTTTGTTCAGACACAAAAGGAGCAAATATGTGTGGACGCGTATATTTGAAGTAGAGGGAGCATGTTAATGCCCACCTGTTATTAATTTTAACGGTCAGTAAGACGTGTTCCTGCATATTTGAGGCTGAGCGAAATTATCGGTTTACGCATATGTACATGACCTCATTAACATAAAGTTCTACATATTGTTATTATCGACTTTGATAAATCACAGTACATAAGATTACAAAATTAAAGTGTATTGTGTTTTGCTTAGTTAATAAACTCCGTTGTCAGAAACTGCAGGTAATCAAAAAGTCCTTGGCATTCATATTTTGAACCTATTAGGAATACAAATTAAATTAAGAGGTAAATATTATTTGAAACACTGCTGCAAGAAATAATTTGGTGTTCGAATGTAGAGTAAGTGCTAATGTGTTAATTGAAAACGAAATTCACTGAAGCACATATTTAAGACAAAAACAAAACCTCTGATTTAATATAATTTTCCTGGGGCCGGCGCGTAAGGCTGACAACCTTACCGCCATCTGTGAGCCGATTGTCTAGATAATGTGGGACCCTCAATGTCTCACAACCCTATGGGCCTTAACGGCCCCGTACAGGGATAGCTTTACTTTTTTTACTTACGCACTTACATTTACAAATTTTCCAAATTGAGACATGCTACACAGAATTCAAATTACAAATAAGTTAAGCAACAATATATTCTGAAATTTTTGCTTCTTGTGCGCGTGCTCTAATTAAAAATTGACACATCAGTTTTACATATTGCAATATGAACCTCGTGTCCCTATGCATATCGAATAAAGTCAAAATTACACGTTTTATATTCATTTTTCTGTTTATGGGCGATAATGATGAGAGAAATAATGCTGCTTGGGAATATTATTTCGTGTTGTGATCACCAGTGCACTCATAATCTCCACAAACTGCATATCCGGCAGAATCTACGCAATAATGAAAACACGATTAGTCACCAACTAAATTTAGAGTTAATAATTCGCCTTGATCGCATCAGGCAATGTAAATATTTAAATAACTTATACTAATGTTCAGTTACAGGAGTGTATACAATATGTTTGTTGTATATGAACGTGAAGCTAAAAAGAAACAACTTTCTTACGCCTCGCTCCATCGAGCAAATGTGTGGGAGGAACTATCCTTCACATTAGTGGACTGAAGGAAGGAATGAACTGAAGAAATTTCCGAGAACAATATTCATAAAGAGATATTAAAACGGATGTCTTCCTATTCGCACACGTGCCAGTGGGGTGAATCTTATTCGAAGAAATGAAAAGTGCAGGCATGTAACAGTTGGTGAGTAGTTGCGGTTAAACGTTAAGAATTAAGCGTGTTCTTGTAACTGTTGTGTAGTAACTGACGGAGAGAATTGTCACTTTTAAATGGTCGCCACTTGGGGCGTCGCTTATTAGTTAATGGTACAGTAATAACAACAAAATTGTCCATGTGAACGAGGTGAACTCCAAAGAACCTCAGCACTTCTGAACGAATTAGAGTAATAGTGGGCCACATCACCGAAAAGTGTTTATAACTTAATGCTATCGATAAACACTACCTCATCCTAAGTTCTGTGTGATTTTTACAAATCACTAATTAATAAAATATTAATGTAATATTTAATATTAATTAATTAAATGTCTTGTTTGATACGTATCCCAAGCAAAGAATATTGATTAATTCAGTTTAATAATTAAAATTTAGCAATGACTTTTAAATTAATATTTCAATTGTACGTACACATTCCACTTACAAAATCTCAAACCCGGCGGAAGTCGTGGAATTTTTAAAGGGCGGAAAAATTCAGGGATCAAGTCCTCCGGGAGGGACTTTTAAGCCGTCGGTCCCGTGTCGTAGATTTACGGCACGTAAAAGATCCTCATGTCTCTAGGAGACCTCTGAGCAAAATTAGGGAAAAAGTTTCCCGCCCAAGTAGTTTCCAATGCCTCTGGTAGGTGGGGGAAATTTCAGGTACCGAGGGCCGACCTGATTGGCTGAATGGGGCTGATAGCACGCGCCAATACCGGTAGGGTATGGCGACAGTAGAAATTAAACGGGGACGCACACTGGACCAATAACTGGTCTAAGTGCATGGGAAAAACCCAACCCCTCCAATAATAATAATAATAATAATAATAATACAAAGTCTCTCGTAAAAAGTACATAAATTTTCATGCACGGAGTAGCAAGAAAAATAATTATTCTTGAAAGTTTTTCAACAGAATTATAGTCAGTTTTGATAACATGCTAAGTTTCTATGCTCCGCGACGTCGCCGTCAAATGGATAATATTCGCGCTTTGAATTTGGGGGGAAGGGGTCCTGGGTTCAGAACTCAACCCCTAGACCAGCTATCCTTGCTGGCATATTCTGTTACATTCCCTGCAGCCAAATTCCGTAATTTTATTTGTGCCCCAAATTATACTATGATCACTTCCATCATATTCCCTCCAGCTGATTTTCACAAATCAAGCTACTATTCAACCCTGTTCACTCCAGGCTGCTTACAGTGCTGTTAAGTATCCATAAATAAATTAATATAATTAAACTGTTGCAATTTTCTAAAGGGTTCTGACGATGGTGGATGACATACAGAATTACTGGGGGTTTGGACTTCTCCCATCGTCTGGAAATTCTAGGTAATGGAGGACACGACGTTTCGGACACTGAATCTGTTTCCGTCTTCCTTTCTCACCTGAATACGGAAACAGATTCAGTGTCCGAAACGTCGTTTCCTCTATTACCTAGAATTCCGGAAGATGGAAAAAGTCCAAAACCCCAGTAATTCTGTTTCTATTTTCATCTTCAAGTGGGAACCTAATCTGAGGGGACACTGGAGGGTCAACAAGGGCCATATTTTTTGTTCCCGTATAAACTAATTGCAGTAATTTGACTACTGCATTACTGGATTATTTGTCCACGCGTTTATCTGCCGTGGTTGTGTAGAGTCGAATACCGCGTAGAGTAATTTGTCAATGATACGTTGGAATTGAAGTAGAAGGAAGAAAGTAGTGCCTCAGGAAATTTTCTCAGAGGGCTAAGGAAACACACGATGAACTCCAAGAAACCTCACCTCCTCAACGAGATTTGAACCAGGAAACACCTGAATATTAAGCATAAATATTAAAAATTCACTGCCATATTACTTGCATTGTTTTGATCATATTTCAGGAGACAGGTTTCACTTTACTTTATGAAATGCTGTTTTCGTCTGTCTGTCTCGTGTTCGTGGGACTTGCTCAGGTTTCTAGGGTGACCGAGAGCAACTTAATTCTTTATATGCAAGAACCATACATTTCTCTTAGTATAATTGAACGTGTATAAAATATAAATCCCCGAATGGCCTATTATTATTATTAGTTGCTTTCATTTAAATTTCGCATGCCACAGCCAAAAAGTCAATGATTTAATGAAATTGTATATCCTTTACTGTGCATATAGAGTGTACGAGGTAGCGTAGTTAGTTAAGGCACTATGCTACAAGCTGGAAGGTTGCGGGATCGAATCCAGATGAGGTCATTTTCAATTGGCCCAGTCCTTCCAGCCGCACTATGGCCCTGGGTCGACTCAGCCTCTAACAGAAACGAGTACCAGGAATATTCTGGGAATGTTCTAGGAGGTAAAGGGCGGCCGGCACGTAGGGCTGACGACCTCACCGCCATCTGTGAGCCGATTGTCTAGATAGTGTGGGATTCTCAACGTCTCACAAGCCTATGGGCCCCCACGGCCTGTTACAGAGACAGCTTTACTTACTTACTTTGCATATTTGAACATCACTATGCTCGAGACAAATTAAGTTCCTAATTTTAAGTAATGTTCCTCATTGAGAATATGCCCTCCAGGGGCGCTGTTATGAGTACAATACCCGTAATGAATCTCCGGGTTTTGTAAAAGGCTGGAAATTTCTTGACTAGGTGATCGACTATTAGCTTCTCAAGACGAACCTTCCTTTACATGGAGTTAGTTACTTCTAATTCCTTTCCTCATGCTCCTGACAACCATTTCCATCCATTTCAGGCTTTCAGATTAACATCTTGAGTGTATTTTACATCTCTGGTATGCGTTCTGCATGCCTTTTCCATCATACCCTCCTCCATACGTTAACCCCAAAAGTGTTTATAGAAGAGTACAAATTATAAAGCTTCTCGTTACATTGTTTTCGCCTTCCCCTTGTTAACCCCTTTTCTCACAGCGATCCTGAACACAAAATTACAGATTTAGATTGTAATCTTTAGGCTTTACATACATTCCGAATTAAAATTAGGGAGCTTTCGCAGTCGGTGCAATATACTTAGTAACAAATTATTGAGGGGGAAGTTTATATATTTACGTACTAAATTCTCATTAAATTGGATCTTTGTATTTTTATATCTCTACTTCGTAAGAAGTGCTGAGTGATGGAAAAGAGCCTAGCATCGCAGTGTTGTGTTGTCTCATCGCAATAAACTGTCGGTAAACCGAACGACACAGGAAACAACATTCAAGGAGAACAAAGCACAGATGTGAATGAAGTTTGCATGTTCCTATTGCTGACAGCAACAACTGGGAACAGCCGATGTTGCTATATAAGGAATGATGCACGTGGAAGGAATGGAAATTGTCACATTTTGAACCGCAAATTGAGAAACGAAACAAACATCGAATGACAACCTACAGTCTCTGCTGTCGAGGTTAACTGAAGATGAATGAAGCTAGCAAGACAATCAACACAAAGAAATAAAACAAATCAATGTAAAAGGTTGTGTGCTGAGTCAGATATAGGTGAGAGTAATCTTAGTAGGTATCTAGAAAATTTAAATAATGAAAAACAGTCGAAACGAGGGAAATTATTATGTTATATATTTAAAGGGTTCAGCCCGCGCATCGGTTCTTAAAAATTTAATCATGTGCATTTTGATTTTGAAAGTGGCACTGAATAGGACTCTACGGAATAAACCGTAGGAAATTCAATATTGCCACATGCAAAAGTAGAGCTACCAGTGTGAAAGCGAATAACTTTAATACTAAGGGAACCCACTCCTTAAGTAATAAGAAAATAATATTACCTGAAACACACCCAACGATAATTAGTACATTTGTTACTTTATATCCCATATGAATCGACGTCTTCCATATATTCAAGTTTTTATTGTAACTATAAACCCTGCTCAATTTTTGATTTCCCAGACTCTTAAATCTTGTTGTTGCATATTAGCTTAAGTAATTTCTCGTAAATTTCAGTCATGCATAATTTCTATTCAATATATTTAATTGTTTTCTCTGTGATAACATACATATTCGATTTGGTAGCAATACACAATGCTGCTATGCACGTCATAATCTCGGAAATACGGAATGTTTTTCAGAATCTTGAAAATTTGTTATGTATTTAATCCTGTAGATACTTACTGAAGGACATGCTGCCTGATTATTGTTTGCTAGCTCCTGGGTATCCTTAGTAAGAAAATGTGTCTATCTCTTGTGGATCAACGTTCACATTACCAATAATGTGCTATACCAAATGGTGAATTTACTATTATTGTCTCTGTCCAGCCATTTTGTTCTTTCTAAATATTTGTAACTTTTACTCTGTATTTACCTCCAAAACTTCTACTTACAATATTATTTTAAACCTAAAAATAGATTTTAGACTTACATAATCAATACCGTATAAATTATGAACATATTTCAACTTGGTATCTAAACGTAAAAAGTATTATTATACCATGATAAAGTTTGTCCTAAAATGTTTATAAGTAATGTGAATAAATAAATACATTTAACATAAATTTTCATCTCTACAGTACAAGAAATATCGTGTTTCATGGCAAATAACAGTAAAAACTTACGGCTGTATATTGATGTTGGGATCGGGGATTGCAGTTTGTAACTAAACTAAACATAAAATGACTCTGTGGAAATATTTGTTTTCTACTATCATAAACAAGCACAAAGTTCGTTCTTGTAATTGGTATGGTTGGTAAGTTCCGTGGGAATTTTAGGATTGCGGGAGCAGAGACTGATTGGCAGCCAATTCGTCTCAGAATTTAGGATAGTACTATAATTAGAATAGGCTTTTAAACACCCACGTTTAAAATGTGGGACTTTTGAATCACGATGTAGTATCCAGAAAAAAAAATCGAATTTATTTTTATAATAAAACAGAATGTATCGCCAGGAATCTTATTCGACTGCTCCAGTGCGCTCTTGACATATCATATCTACCCTCATGGAGCCAAGCCTTGGGATCATTTCATAAGTTTTCCTTCCGCTTCCTTTATGAGTGTTTCAGAAGATGTTTCAATAGGAACAAAGTCATATGAAAAATAAAACCCATTTCTTACTGCCTTATAAGCTTTTAAAATTCCAAAGTTAAAGCGAAAGCCAAAGATCTGGATGTTAGTCAGAATATGACAAACGAATAATTTGAAGAATAGTCTTCTTTACCGGTACATCGTAATACTCAAATTTGACTTTTAACGTTGTTGATCTTTATGCTGTAGTTCTATATTTTAACGAATAACCATCAGGACATTTGTTCAGTTATTTAGCCTTGACTGATTGGTCTGGAAATATCTAACTACATTCGCCTTTGGAAAAGTCAGAATCAAAAATATATCGGAAAGAAGCACATAATTTAGCGTTCCTTTACATAGTTTGGGTTTAAAATATTCAGCCACTTTGTCGATTTGATTCTGTTCCTCTAAGCCTTCTTAAATACACTGAAGGCTCTAGAACGAGAAACGTGAAATATTTTATATTTTTAGAATAAAATATGTAAAAACAAATGTTATTTACTAATTCCATTCTTTAATTTGTACTTTTGATTAATTTCGTCATCCATACGAAAAACATAAACCTTTCATAGGCTAAAGTTAGTTTATTACACGGGAAAATATAATTTATAGAAATATTTGGAATTATATAATTGCATTTATAAGGATTTCAAAGTGTTTATTTTGAACTTAGTGGTAGTAATAAGACGCTTGTTTCCCCTCCCTCTTTCCGACCATGCAGCGCTTATTACGTTTCGAATGTTGCTGTGTGTGTGCAGTTCGGTAGAAGAGTGCACGAAGCCTGTTTCAGTGCGTCTGATGAAGCCGGAGCATTCGGTAGTAATTTGTGTTTTAATAAGTTTGATATTGTGACAGAGAATTGTAAGCGAATGAAAGAACTGGATACAAAAGAAGACGTAATTATGCAGCAGAAACTTCGATTCCAGGAACCGGAATATAAGAAACTTCATTCTGTTCGAAATGGGATATCTGAAGGTAAGTTCGAATGAACATCATTTGCTGAAATTATTATATGCAGTATATGTCTCTGTGTGACCTCTATATACCGAACAAGAAGAAACACGCGGTCGCTTTATGGAATCCAAATATTTTATACCTTCAGTGGGCGTAGTTTGGTTGAGATATGATTTTATAATTTCCTTTTTGCGTAATATTTACAGATACCTACCACAGACTTTCAAGCTGTAAATTTAACGAAGCATGGATGATAATTATGCAGTTGTGTATAGGCTTTAACCGACAACAAATCAAATTTTTCCTTTTAATATTCTTATTATAAGAGATTCATTAAACCTAAAGTCCCATTTTACAGGTGAAATACGAAGATAACAATTTGCCCCTTTTGACTTAGTATGGTATACTTAGAGATCAACAGAACTCTTGCCCAATTTTAATAATTTTATGAATTACTTCCACAATATTTTACGATCCTTGTATTTATATTTAAGGTCATAACATCGATTCTGACTGAAGGAAGATAAGAGGTACATGAGATTCCCAGAGACTGCCGAATATGTAAATTTTATTACCGTAAATTTACGAAATTCAGTAGTGTAATAATATCCATTAAATTTCCTGAAACGAATATAATTTAAAATCACGCAACTCTCAATAAACCGGTAGTGATTTGAGATATTATAAGAGGGACCTACACGAGTATATGTCCATGTTTTACATTTATAAGGGTATCTACACTCATTTCTCCTACAAATTCAACATTTGCCCCTCCCGCCACTCTGGCATTGCCGTGGTAGTTACTGCTGCTGGCCGTGCTGCGTGAACGCGTACTACGCCAAAGGGAAACAAAGTGTGAGGCTTGCTCCAGTAGAGAACTTGTGCCTTTGACAAGTTGATCACATTGGTTTATGCATATCCGTTACGGATCATATGTTTTCTGCACTGCTAATAATTGTTTACGTGCAGTGTTCATGATACATAAAGCGCAGTTGTTAACAGTTCAAGCCGCTTTATGGCCATTCTCGTTTCATTAGGTACATTAAAAGTTGTGAATCATATGCAAGAATCAGTCGCACTTAGCAGGAAATAATTGATGTTCAAAGTATCAGGGAGGCATGAAAATTGTGCAGCATCCGAACAGAAACTATGGACCTGTGTGGGTGAAGGGTTATTATTAACGTCCATAGTTTCGTGCGCTGTATTGCCAGATTTGTTTCTACAGGGACATTTTCAGCAATTTCTCTATTGTAATTTATGTTTTATGTTGCCGGACCCTACCACACATTCAGTGCGTGCTATGGATCAACTCATGTCTCTCTTTTCGAAGTTCGGACCGACATAATTTGTGAGGTTTATCTTCTTCCCAAAGCAAGATGCTGCAAGACCTTCTACCGAAGTTCCCCAAAGTCATAATCGTAATCTTGTAGGATTTCTGGTCCTCACGACGTTGAGTATAAAGAATTCTATCATCTGAGCATAACAATATGCAGTCGGATGAAACATGTCGCCTCTATCTTCAGGGTTGAAGAATAAGCCAAGCAAGAGACAAGCATGAAGAAGGAAGCAATCAGAGTTTTATCTCTGCTTCTTGCCCGTTTCTTATTTGGTTTCCTCAGAAACCTTGAAGATGGAAGCGAAAAGTTCCTCCAGAACATCTCTTGACTTTCAATTTACTAGACAGGCGTCATCGTCAACGTCAACTTCGTCATCATCATCATTTAAACAATTCTGTGAAGTTTGATCTCTTGAAAATATTCCTATGCAGGTCAGACCTTTTGGACAGCCTAGCATTACGCACAGGCTGTACTGATAGATTAGACCCCCGCCCCGCCCTTCTAGTCGAGCGGTCTCGTAAGTCTCGAATGTCTCTTGAACAGGAGAATAGGTCTTGACTTCTGAAGCAGCTTTGTCATTCCACACGGCCATTTTCTTTCTTCGGCCGAGGTGATGTCATTGACTAATTAAAGGGCGGGCAGAGAACAGCTTCTAGCTATGTTGTAGGCCGTAGTCTTCGCTGCAGATATCTTTAGTTGGTTTCTATTACAAGTCTCCTCTACAGTCACAGTACAGTTAAAGTAATCATTCTTATGAAGTATCCGCTTTTTTCTTAAAGGCCAGAGTTCGGCCGAAGTGTAGATATAAATCGCCCTTTTTATTATTATTATTGGTTTGATTACGAAACGTAATTTAAATTCTGACTTAGTGATGTAATTAGTTTCAAGTGTATTCTAATTTCTAACCATCCTATTGCAAGCCATATTAAAACGTCTATGTATAACACAGTCCGTCAATAATGCAACAAATTGGTACTTTTTCTTCCACTTAGACCATATACGTTAACTTTAAAGTATAGATGGAAGAAAAAGTAACAATTTGTTGCATTATTGACGGATTGTGTTATACATAGACGTTTTAGCTATTCTTCTGTTTAGACAAAAGAGATTTCTATTAAATTTCATATATAAAGACATTAAATGCAAGGGGGGTGGGAAATGGATTGGTGTGATTTACCTGTTTACTTCCAATGGATTACACGGCTTATATCGTAGAGCGTAGAACTCTTCAAATTCTAATTGGTCCAGTAGGAGCAGTGTTTATAAAATGTTCTTCCTTCTGGGATATAAGGCAGAAGAAATAACTCTTCTAATTCCTCCACAGTTACCTAATTTAACAGCTGTAACAGTCATTTTTACATAAAAAGGATAGCACAGAAATTAAAGTAACTCAAAATAAAGATCATATTATAATCTAGTAATCCTATTGCAAATATTTTCAGTAATGTCCATATATTTAACGAAATATAATACAAAATTGGCTGATATCGGGTAGTATACCTACTTGCACTCAATTAGCTTTGCACCAGTAGTGCTACGAGGTGCATGAAAATGCAAAGAACTCCTTTGCACATGTTCGCAATCCAAAGTGGAGAGCACTTTTATACAGGACACTTCTCACTTAACCTCTCTTCGTGAAGATTATATAACCACTAGATTAAATTTGAACTCCTTTTACAATCATCTTGTTAGGAACTTCTATTAGTATTAATTTACCGTCTAAAATATTATGTAAGATTTAAAAATATCATTTTTATGTATAAACTACGAATCATTATTGGTTATTTTTGAGCAAGCCATATCAAATAATATAAACTGAACACTTGGTCCCTGCCGGAAACAATAAATATGTTTGTACTGTATTAAGAAATATTTACATGTACAAAACCAGGTATTTTCTTGGGTTCCTGGAGGTGTCCCTTCATTAAATTCCCCAAATGATCCAGAGTTTTGTGCCGGCTCTGCGTGGGCTTGTGTAGGTCTCTGCGATAAACGTCGTTTACATATTTCACAGTCATGTAGGCGCAGGTTGGTCCAAGTAGATTCGTTAAGAATACATGGCCAACAACTTTTTAATACTAGTCCATGGGACTTATTCATTCTAATATAAAAGAACGCAGGATTTGTTAGCACAATTTTAGGAATACAGAGTTCACTGAACACAGTCTGATATTATTTGTTTTATGTTCCGAGAACCATGTCTATCAGAGAGACAGTGCATTCTGGGTACAGTTGTAGGCAGTCCCGGTTCAGTAGGCCTCGCCTGTGGGCTGCGTCATAGTCGTGGTGTTCTCTTGGCTCGTAGACGTCAACCTTCTCCAGAGGAAGTCTGAAAGCGATAAATGCCTTTAAAGTTACACTGTGTCATCATTACTTAATACTTTACCGGCGTATTTATGTGCAGGCTACTTTTATTCACTGCTTACAAATTAGTTAATAGCCTTTGCAGCTGATTCCATACGCATAAGAAACCCCATTTGTCATTCGGAAGGATGCGAGTCTAGACCTTACAGATGGCCAGTGGCATGGAATTTGCTGGAGAGAATATTCGAGCTAAGGAATATCATACCAAAAAAGAAATGTGATAAATATATGTAATGTTTCACATTTAGTATTCTTCTGAAATATTGATATGTTGGGATTTTGGACTTTATCCATCGTCCTGGTTTTTAAGATAACAAATAAAAACACGACGTTTCGGAAACTGGATCTGTTTCCGTCCTCAGGTGAAGGAAAACACCTATTCAGTTGGGTCCCTTAGAAAGAGCTAGCCTCAATCACTGGANTCAGAGAAAAGCTAGTTAGGAATATAAGGCCTGCGAAGAAAATATTAATGGGCTTAAAACAACTATGTTCCGAATACAAGAACTGGCTCAGAATAAGTTAAGATTTACTGGTACAAAAATATACGATTTTGAGAGGACATCAATGATATTTACCTTAGATATATTATTAGTTTTATTGATTTATATTACTACTCCGTTGTTTATTTAGTTTTCTTTGCTTGTTGCTCGCTTACTTCATCCCTTTTCCTTTTCCTCTGTTCTTCTCCACTTTCTCATGCTTTCTCTCTTTTCTTTCATATGAATTTTAACTCCAGGATCGCAAATATAAGACAAGAACGTAGATTCAACATTGATCAAAATCATTTCGGGGGTATAATTTCTAAGCTTACCACACATCCCTTTTAGCTCAATTGTAGACAGATTTCCGGGAGCATTGGTTATAAATTGTTTTATTGTGAAAGTTTAGGGGACATTTTCGGGATTCAGAGATTATGGTAACAAAGCGGTATTTTAAGAAAATAAACAGCTTCAGTTCTAATAATAGTAAAATGTAAATTAGTCTCTGGTCTATGAATATTTTTATTGAAAAAAATAGGATATCAGATTTTGCGAGATTGTGTTTTCTCGAGTTGAGTTCCTGGCGTCGGAATTGTTAGTTTTTNCAGTGTTCGCTCTAACACTTTGCCTCAAGCGGCAAAGTTTCTGTCTTGAATTATGAAAGCACCCGGTTCTAATCTCTGCCGAAACGAAAATTAACCTGAAGTCTTGCTAGTCTTCGTCAGTCCCCCAAAGCAGATTCCAGGATTGTTCCTCATATTATGCAACGATCGCTTCCTTCCAGATCCTTTTCAATTAGTTGTTCACTAATTATCCTGTCGTTCGGTGCTTTGTATAATCTGAGTCAGAAGCAGCGTCGTTAAATACACAACAATGAGACTGAAACGTGGTCAGGCTTCATTCCTTGCAGCATGAACTGAAAAATAACGTTTATAAATCCAAATCTTGTGTCATCTACGTGTAGTTTATAGGTGAACACAGAAAGGAACAGACTCGATATGTAGCCATGTTTTATCATTTTCAATTATAATTTAACGCATTTTTGGCGGGAAAGCATTTATTTAATTCAGTTTAAATTCATGTTAACGTTAGCTCTACACTCCAGGCTGGTTGAGAGAAATATTCGCAAATAGCTTTGTTTGGCCACTATGCCATCTTTAGGAATGTAATATCATTATTATCTGAAGAAAGCAGTCTTCTGGGATTTGGCACCGTGTATATGTGGTGTTAACCGACGTTTCGGAGGAACGTATCGCCTCCATCTTCAGGGTAGAAGAAAAAATATAAGAAATCTGCAAGCGAAGAGACCGTGAGAACCGGTAAAAGCAGACTGTTTATTTTCTACTTATTCCTTGTCAGCGGGATATATAATATAATGCAGGAATTTGCCGATTATTGTAAAGTTTATTAACTCTTTTTTGTGATTTGTTGTAGAATACTTACGAAAACAAAATTCGAAATATTTCTTCCAGAATACTTGCTTTAGGCATCAGTCTTTGGGCAGTTTCACATAGCGCTCTCTTGATGCAAGATCGACCTTCTATCCCTGCTCTGAAACCAAAAGTTTTTGGAAATATAGCCACAAAGCTATCTCATAAATATGCAGGTCTGCGCTGAATTCTGTTGTAAATTTATTCATCCTTGACCGAAGCCCGCAAAAGCAGTACAGATGGAATGACACGAGCATCCTGAATTCTATATACGGTCTATGTAATATTATAGAATAGTACTATAGAACTCTCTTCGTGTCGCCTTCAGCATTTGATTGTTTTCGGAGAATCAGTTTGCATTTCGTGATATGCATACTAAAAACTTTAAATCTTATTGTTTTTCAGCTCAAAACACCATGTTGTCCCGCTGTTAATTACAAACGTTTCGAAGTAACATTACGTCCTTCCTCAGAGCAGAATATGTAGAATGTATTACTCCGAAACGTCGGTAACCGCCTAGCAGACTACATGTTTTATTAATGCGGAAGACGAAATTATGAATCTTCGCCGGCCTGCAAACCTCAGATGTACTTTGGCTGTGGCAACAGGGTTTTATGTTTTACCGTAACCAGTTCTGCAATATACTGAAGTAATTCTTGAGTCGCAATTCAGGGCTGCCATAAATCATCTAGAACAATTATTTTGTACCCCTTAAAGTCGTTTATAACACTCAGACTGACGCTCTGCTCCAGTGGTAGCCTAAGTCCGGCAGTTTCAAAATAAATCAGTTTAATTCCACCCCGTTTTACGTCGTGAGTTCTAATAACTGAATCACTAAAGAATTCCACTGTCAAAATCAATCATAATTCTCAAAATTATGGGGGCCTATCAAGACAATATTGGCCTCAGTTTGCTAGTCCTTAAACTCAGGGAGCATATCACTGGGTCGGTGTCACGTGATAAAATAACTGATTTCAATTGGTAAATACGGAATGTCCAAAACACAATAATAAAGAGACAGAGATTATTAATTTATATTATTTTATTTCATTTTAAAACCAGATAAATTTCAAATATTACGTTTCTGGGCATTAACCATCATCCTGTCTTTATTTAAAAACATCTTCAAAAAATAAAATAATCAGGACGGGTTTTTATATAAAGACAGGACGATGAACAATGCCCAAAACACAATATTTGTACTGATGTACCATCGTCACAAACTTTTACATCCTATTCAGATAAAAGTTATTTGCTCCAGAACCATTGAATCGGAGTAAGTAACCTTGGATTTTGATCTCAGAATTTAAAGCATGTCAACAAAAAAGGACAGGACTATGTAATCGACTGTATACGAGGGTCGTACTGAAAGTCATGAGCAACAATTTCTTGTAAAATAACATGCTTTATTATTGACAAACCAAATAACCACCTCAGTCTACAGACCTTTCTTTATTTTTCCACACAATCACCACTTCTTTGTACATATTCTTTCCAGAGTTCTGGGAGTTTGAAAATTCCCCTTCTGTAAAATTCCGTTCCAGCCATCCGAAACACGCCAATGGCTTGAAGCTGTCTAAAAACACAGTTCTAATTTCGATGCTGGCAGCCCCTCAGCCACTCGCAGTTTTCCCCGTTCATGATTCATCACTGATTCCTAACTTAAGCTAGACTAATCCAATCTAAATCCTTTAATGCACTCCTAGATATCATAATGTAACCGTCCTTCGGTTCTGCTAGCTCCGGTAGAGCAATTCGACTCCTCTCAAGGCGTATTGACTGGCCACGACTTGGGTGATTATTGGGGCTTTAGGCGTAGGGAAGTCACCTCAACAACAATTAACGAAGTCTTTATTCAACCTGCACTATTTGTACGGAAACAGCACCGTAGTGACACTTCACAGAGTTGTGGATGTAGGCTTCCTTACTGTTCTGAGACGCACACTTAATAGTCACCACAGGGCGTGTTTACGGGGATCAGAACACGTGTACCCTCGGTGAAGGTAAATTTCAGAGTCCTCCTTGCCAGGCACCCTCTGAATGGTAAATACTTGCCCTGGTTACAAAAATTCGGGCAAAGGACCTCCCACTTCAGATGATGATTGGCTGGACCGGGCAGACTGGGAGGTTGCTTATCATTCTCCTCCAATTAGGAAAGCGAATATCCACCAGTGTACAGTTTAGGGGTGAATTTTGCCACCTGCTGCGTGGCTGTCAAACTGAGATTTTGGGGTAGCAGGAAACGACGCTGCTAAATTTATGAACTCCCCTGTCAAGTTTAGTATTTCTAAAGAACTCGGCCTTGTTTTACGCATTAAATTGACTGATTTACTGATGGGCAGCTGGCTTCAAGCTTGGCCCAAGCCACTTGCTGCGTGTCTCAGGGGGAAATTTTCAAATTGTGAGGCGAAAGTGAGAAATTTCACAAAACCCTAACCATACACAAGCATCAATTGACCATCCCATAAACTGGATAGTTACAGTAAGTACTTTTTCTTTTCACATTTTCAAAATAAAATTTTTGAATATTTCTTCTCTGTCCCATGCGTGTTACATACATGGCCCATATCGTTCTTAATGTGATTATCTTAACAATACATGCAAAATTTGCGAAGTTCTGCAGTGTAGAATGAAGATAATGTGTACTGGAAAAAGCCTTTTTGATGTCATTGTCCCAGCTTCCATCTAGACATTTCGAGGAAAACCACGAAAGCTTCAGTAGGCCTAAGCGCAGGAGGTTGTGAGATGCAAAGAATTAACGCCCCAAATCCAAGTCAAGAACATTAATGCTATAACAGGATTCTCTGATTACTATAGTGGATCGGCACCTTAATTACGTTTTAATGCTTCACTGAAGCTATCATTCTTTGCTGTGCTTGTTGGCATCCAGCCTTGACAACTTCAGAATAACGATAAATTACTGTATTCCCCGAAATATACCTTCGTGAGTTGCCTGCTTCTTTACAATGGAAACTTGACATGAATATTGAAAATTGAATAGTGAACTAATTCGACAATGTATTCACATACTTTTGTTTTATAATTTTTGGGGAATATTTTGAGCTCTCCACAAACTATTTTGCTTCCATGATATTGTGGGAGCTAGCCGAGCGGTCTAGGGCATGCACTGCCTTCGCTCGCTTGGAAACCGGGATCGTGGGTTCGAATTCCACTCAGGGCATTGATGCTTGTGTGCGTTCTTCTGTGTTAGTGTACAGGTAGAGGCCTTGCGACGAGCTGATCACCCGCCCAAGGAGTCCTACCGAATGTGTAAGATGTAGAAAAACCGAAGGGAACGGAGAAGTTCATGGAGGTAGGCCTAGGCCCACTGGGGCTCTAGCGCCAGAGGAAAAAAAAATTGTGAGAGAAAGCTCACGTGCCTGTGTCAAATATCTTCAGCGGAAGTGAATAGAAAGTTAACACGAAATTTCTTACCTTACTTACCTCTCACAACGTAGAGTTAAAATATGGGCACTAGACACAACGCTGTATAATAAAAGTATCAAAATATTCAGTATAGTACATATCACGACTGATGTTTGACTGGAACATCGGTGAGAGCAGAATACAACAAAATTAATTATCCATTATATTATTCTATTCGCAAAAGTCATTAAAGAGAACTAAACACTTTGGGTGCTAAACTAAATCATTTCCATGTTACGATTCTTAAATGCTTTGTCACTTGTCATGTGACTACCTAAGTTATATGCGATTGGCGTGCATTGTGTGCAGTTCTCTGTATAAAACCATTGCAAAGAGGAGTCCGTCACATGACTACTAGGAATTTAATAACGAGGTATGTAATTACAGGTATGTTACAGTTCTCATTGTGTTAACATCAACATGCAGGTGTGCTGGAATAGACAAGGGACAGAAAATTAATTAAATTATGCAATAATTGATGCTTCTGTTCAGATGTGTAATTGTTTGTGGTCTAGAACATAGTCTCTTTCACAATTGTAAATGACATACATTAAATTGCTATTCACGTTAATATGACTCAGATATGCTGAACAAGCCATGTAATGTGAATATCGAAAGAAATGGATGATACAGCATAAATTGTTTGCTGTGTGAACATTATAATTATCTTGCATTTCGGCATTATGCTACGCTACCTTAACACATAATATACGTGCACACAGTTCTCAGTACAGCTCCTCGTGCCTTTACTGGTTCAGCATATGTTTCCGTCTCGCAAGGACCATCATCAGGTGTGTATATTATTGTAAGTAAATTGTTTCATTATGGACAAACTGACTACGCGTTACGCACAAAACTAATTATTTCTTTTTGACTCAAAATTTAAAGTATTGTGACATGTTGACCCCTACCTCCCCAGCGGTACTTGGCGGTAACGTAACGCTCGCGTTCTTACGGTAATAGGCGAGTTCCCGCCCCGCCACTCCCCTCCGCGGTGACGTCACCGAGGGATATCGCGGTCGCTAGGCAACGCGAGTCAACAGCGGCGACGTTACGATAGTAACAGCGGTTACCTCCGCTAGCGTTACATAGCAACACAGCGCCAGGCGAAAAGGGTGCCTATTACGCGGCCGTTTTCCGTATGGTCCGATCGAGGCTACATGAGGCGCAGCGAAGGCTATTCAGAGAGTAGTTGTTGTACTGAGTTGTACTGAGACAGTCAGTGAGTCCTGGAGCTACCGCCGAGTTAGCCAGCAACTAGTCAGTTGTAGTCTGGCATTTGGAGTGTACTAATTGTGATACTGCAGATAGCAGTAACCGTAAATCTGTAATTTGGGTGATTGTAAGTGCGAATGTGAAATAAAATTCGCTATATAAAATACGGCGTGAAGTTATTTGTCGCGATATACGCCCGATACGCGACAGTATTTAGAAGTCGTATAGTCCACACACAGACAAGAGACGCAACCTGAAGTACCCAAGATACACGTGGCAGAGTCATTAAGTTCGTGGAATGTGGTTTTATCGCAAGGTATTCACATACACTTAAGCAGAGCCATATCGGCCCTCAAATAGTTGCCTTTGGCCGCAAAGAAAGTCTGCCAAAGTTGATATAACTGTGGAAAACATTGCTGAAACATACTGACGGGAAATTCCTGTACGACTCTTTGCGGCCATTCCACGAACGTATTGACTGTGGCAGTAGATAGGCACACATAATCAGAAAACACCCACGCGGCTTTAAGAGAGCAGCCACAACATGCGAACTTTTTCATTTTTAACTTTTAACTGACTACATTTTTTAAATTTTGAGTACAAAAAAAAATAATTATCTTGTGCTTAGCACATGGTTTTGTGCCCACAGTGAAAGAGTTTAACACACCTACGAGGGTCCCGTGAGGCCTAAACATGTGACGTATTGGTGGAAGAAGGACATGAAACAGGAGTGGGCATTCAGTAACGGCACGAAGAGCTGCACAGAACACGGTGTTCGTGTGCATATAACAAACTGAGGCATATTCTTCTTTGTAAATAGAACGAAGCTTATGTTTCATCGATCAAGTGAACAGGGGAACCCCCGCCGTGTGAATAGTATTCTTGCTTTTTGTTTCGAAGTCTTCGGTTCAAATCTCTAGCCGGAGGCCGATCGTACTGACTGAGACTTCTGATAGTTTCCCCCACTTCGCGGACAATGCCGGAAAAGTAATTTAAATTAGGCCGTGACTGTTTCCTTTCACATCTTTACCCGTTCATTATCCATTGATGATCCTATCGTTTGATGACATATATTCTTAGCAACTAAAGCCTCAGGTAAAAAGTATAAACCAGATCCACACACACACATATATATATATATATAGAATAGATTAAATTTTACTTAATTACTTTAATTTCTGCAATAAGACTCTAACAATTCTCATTATAATTAGAGAAGTAGATAAATATATTTACGTTCAGAAAGTGATATTTAAAATAAATATAAAATTCGAAGGAATATTAACATTGCATTATGCAACTACCAGTCTATAGAACACGGCGGTAATTATCCTGCACTGCTCATGTTTTTGGAAAAGAATAGACTGCCCTATGACACAGAGATAAATCTTTTGTTTCCGTAAAAGGTGGGGAAATTTTTGTCTAGCAGAGAGATTATATACTTCTCAAGAATGGCTCTACTCTTTGGAACTTGGCCTAGTTTCTACTAATACAGTAGTAAGTAAGGCTCTTACTGTTAGTGTCTGGACGCGTGACAGAAACATTGGAAGAAATGTCATTGCATGTTCCATCTGCATAGGGCCTAAGTATTATATGTCGCGCAATTGACATGCGCAATGGTTTAAACAACTTCACTGTATATGGCGAGGAGTATGATTTATGAAATAAATATTTTTTTGTCTTACTCTAGGTCCGTCCAAGGGAAACAAATATTTTCATCTGTTCTCATAAGGGCTTGCTTTGTGCTAATCGATTCCACACTATTACTCCTCTAAGGTACAAATTATTTTTTTCAGAAATGAATGTAGCATTGTTTAGAGGTTAATTTAAATTAAATAAAATTACAGGGGAAACTGTGTAATATACATATACCTTACACTTATCTACTGGAATTTCAGAGCCATAAATGTTCCTCACATCTTTCCAGGGTAATTTAGACAGAAACCGATGAAATATTCTCACGTTTATTTCTGAGTTCTGGCCCTGCTTTCATCCGCTTTCGACTGCGTGTGCATTAAGATCTAAAAGTTTGTGGCGATGGCACATCAGTACAAATGTTATGTTTTTAGACATTAGACATTTAGACATCCATCGTCCTGTATATTATTACAAACACAACGTTTCGGAGACTGGATTCTATCTCCGTCTTCAGGTAAAACCTACTCAGTTGGGCCCAATCGATAGAGCTAGTCCCTATCTCCGGACACCTGTGCCAGCTACAAGATGGCGTACATAAATCAAACACAACACAAACCGCCTGCGAGAGCTAAGAAGACGGAGACAGAATTCAGTCTCCGAAACAATGGGTTATGAAAAATAAACAGGAAGATTATAGATAAAGACAAGACGATAGATAATGCCCAGAAACCTAATATTTGTGCTAGTGCATAGATTTACTTTATAATATTGAAGTTAGGCAGTTTATATTTCAACCGGTGCTTCCTAACTAGAGAAAAAATTTATGCCAGGAATGTAAGCATCGAAACACCCTGTCTTCAGTCAATGTAATACTCACGCGTCCATCGCCGCTTCCAGTCGCTGGTACAGTTCCCCTCGCCTCCGTCGCAAGTGGAAGGGAGGTACAATTCGGTGAGTTTCTGGATCCCGAATAGTTTGGTTCGGCAGCTCATAAGAGATGGCCCAGTTCAGACCGATTGTGTAGATGTCCAAGTCATCAGTGAGCGTCTTCCAAGTTGTGCAGAATGCAATCTACAGCCAATAGTGACCATATGATTTTAGAGACATTGGCTTTGTGAGATATGCAAGGAATGCAATTCTCAGGGAACTGAGCACAGAAGGAATAGAGTACAACAATCTTTGCTCTCTAATATGTAACATTTTGTGCCAGATATCTACTCTCTTAGCGTAACAAAACTTGGCTGCGTTACTTATATATCCTGTGAGAGTGCCACTTGTAAGAGGTGTCAGACAGAAAAGGAAACAGCCACACACATCCTGTGTGATTGGGAGGCTTTAGCTTATTTAAGACTACGTCACTTGGGTCATTACTTCATGGAACCAAGTGACTATTTCGACGTCCCCACGTCCAAAATCCTGCGCTTCATCCGAAGATTGGGGTTGCTGAGGGAATAATTAAAAAGGGGGAAGCACAATAGATCACTGAAGTCGCGGTGCAAGGGCCGAGAAGGCCTACCCCTTATACATTCATTCATTCATTCATTCATTCATTCATTCATTCATTCATACTTATATATCCTGACTGAAAGACTTAAATTTACTGAAGTCTGTCCACTGGAATTCTGAAAGATATCCAAGAAAAAGCTACTATTGATTCTTACGTGTCATTCGAAAACATTTCACTACACAACATATACTTGTACACTCTGCAACTGAAATATATCTTTAAACAGCCTAAGAAACAGTGACGTTTATATTTCTTAATCCATGCTTAAAAAATAAATATTAATGCGGGTTCAGGATAAATAATCAGGTCTTAGATGAAAGAATCATAAATTTCATTGACTAAATTAGTTAAGCAGGAACGTCTGAATTATATATGCTTCAGTAATATGGTTATGACACAAGAAGGTGGCACTGGGTTAAGTATTTTGTTCGTGTGAGTGAGGGGGAAAAAGAAATGAATGCCTGTAATCTGTGGGGAAAATATTTTTGAACCATTTCATATGTAAGACAAATGTTACTCCGAGGGGATGAAATTACATAAAGGAATTTACTTTTGGCAATGATCATTTAAATCATTTGGCCAAGCTCAGTATTTTGTGGTGTCATCCGCGTCAGAGATATTTAATTTCCCAATCTGTAATACTAGAGAGTTAATCGGTATATACAGGGTGTTTTACGACTTTAGGGCATAACTGCAGGGGGTGATTTCCTATGTCTTTGTGATCAAAACAGTTCATATAAACATGTGTCCGATTTTGGACGGTTACGGAGTTATGACCGTTTAAACTCAGAATAGAAGGTAAAGATTACTGACAGTCAACGACACAAAATAATAAACCAGCATAATACATGATACATTTAAAGTATGAGTGTAAACTTAACTTCGTGAAATTACCTTTAATTTCAATTGATTGCTGCTTAAAGCCGAGTTTCGAAAATTCCACCGCCAGCCGCAACACAGGCTGCCGCTCGGTTGTGAACCGCGCCGGACATACCAACCCACCCCGCCTTCGGTAGCTCTCATGTGTCGAGATAACGAGAACGCTCTGTCTGTAGCTGGCTAAAAATAGCGAGCGACCAGCCAGCTGACAGCCGCGGTTCACACGAGGGCGTGTACGGGAATGAAAAACGTTCATAACTCCGTAACCGTACAAAATCGGACACATGTTTATATGATTTTTTTTGATCACAAAGACCTAGGAAATCGCCTACTGTAGTTTTGATCTAAAGTCGTGAAACACCATGTATATATATATATATAATGTCAAGAATAGAAAGGCGTGCTAAACTTCCGCAGATAAAGGAACTTACGTACAGAGAAACTTCATAATGTAACGTGTACAATGAGTGGAAATTTCCGAAAGCGGATGCGAATATACGTGCATATGCGGAGAATCTGACGGGAAGAGACAACTTGAGACACAGAGACATGGGTGGGAGAGTAATATAATGCGAGATTATGCGTAATCCTAAATATACAGAATGTCAGTGAGTGCTGAATTCATCTGTCTCAGTACAGGAACCAGTGGCGGGCTTTTGTGAAAGCGATACTGAATTCCTTAACCAGGTGATCTGTCATCTTCCCAGGTGGGACGGACTTTGCTCCAAGGAGGTCGTTACTTAATTATTTTTGCCTTTCTTTCCCACTTTTGAGAATGGCGCTGATATCTCAGTTTCATTGATCATTTTTGCAGAATGTAGGACTCCTTGGATGAGTGATCAGCTTGTCGCAAGGCCTCAACCTAAATATAGGTCAACATAAACAAAGAATAAACGCATACACACACCAAACATAAATGCCTTTTGTGGGAATTGAACACACGATCCCGGCTTCCGAGAGAGCGAAAACAGCTCATGCCTTTCACCGCTCAGCTACCGGTCACGCTAGCCGAGAGGTCTAAGGCATGAGCTGTCTTCGCTCGCTCGGAAGCCGGGATCGTGGGTTCGAATCCTACTCAGTGTATGGATGTTTGTGTGCGTTTTTCTGTGTTTGTGTAGAGGTAGAGGCCTTGCGACGAGCTGATCACCCGCCCGAGGAGTCCTGCAGAATGTGTAAGATCTAGAAAAACCGAAGTGAACGGCGTTCATGGAGGTAGGCCTAGGCCAACTGGGGCTGTAGTGCCAAGGTTAAAGAATAAAAATATTCATAGAATCCTTGTAGCATTAACAAGCATAAAATATTTTCCGCTAATTTGTATGAGCACTGCACGTAGCAGCAATACTTGACTTTCCTTGCTCCAAAGGACACAACGCTGCCTGCCGTCATATGCGTCAGCATTATTGCTCTGACCTCAGTCCTGATAGGACGCCAGATGCGTTCTATGGCTCCGTTGGCAGTAAACTAGAATTATCCGCCGATTTGGATCCTGAACAACCCATGCAATATGGGTCCTTAGGTCGTTTCCTGAATGTAATGGACGGATATGTTCTTATTATTAATTCCGGAAAGAAATTCTTGGCCTATTTCAATCCCCCATAGGATTTCTTATGTTTTATGTAAGTATAGGTCATTGGTATGGGCCGACCCCTTGTTCAAGTTGTCCCGTCAAATGTATAACGGGTTCCGTGAGGTAGAAAACTTCCACTGTGTTTAGTAAAACAGTATTTCAAGATTGGCCTAGTGAATAAAGGAAGGAACGAAGAAGAAAGTGAAAGAAAATGGGAAAGATATATAGGAAGAGAGGTGAGGACATGGAGAAACAAAAGAAGAAACAGAGAAATAAGTGGAAGAAAATTTAAATAAGAGAAAGCAAGAAAACGGGTGTTGAAAGTGAAAGCGATAAGTAATGAAACAACAACAGCGAGAAATAGAGGAAAATGAGAACGAAATTAAAATAAGGAAGAGAGAAAAAGAGTGAGTAACAAAAGAAGATCTGTATAGACAAGGAACAGAAGACACAAAGAGAAAATAGACTCAGAGAAATGTGAAATAGGAAGAGAAGGAAAGCGAAAATGGCAGCTGGAAATAAGAAATACGAACCTTTCACGTTGATATCCTCCAAGATGTGAAAACATTCTGTCGCTCGGACACGCCGATCTGTTCTCATATGAAAGTTTGTGAAATTAATTGGCGTTAATTTTAATTCTTTGATTGCTCAACATATTACCTATGGCTGACAGCATGCCAGCAAAATATAACTGATACTAAAATTCATTCCGCCGGTCACGGTAGCCCAGCCGTCTAAGGCATGTACTGTCTTCACTCGCTCTGAAATCGGGATCGTCGGTTTGGATCTGTTTCCTGTGAGGTACGAACTGAAGTCTTATATATTATTCTTATACACTGCCAGTCACGGTAGCCCAGCGGTCTAAGGCATGCACTGTCTTCACTCGCTCGGAAGCCGGGATTCGTGGGTTCGGATCTGTTTCCTGTGAGGTACGAACTGAATTCTTATATATTATTCTTATACACTGCCGGTCACGGTAGCCGAGCGGTCTAAGGCATGCACTGTCTTCGCTCGCTCGGAAGCCGGGATCGTGGGTTCGCATCCCACTCAGGGTACGGATGTTTAATTTGTGTATGTGCGTCTTTCTGTGTTTGTGTACAGGTAGAGGCCTTGCGACGAGCTGATCACCCGCCCAAGGAGTCCTACCGAATGTGTAAGATCTAGAAAAACCGAAGTGAGCGGAGAAGTTCATGGAGGTAGGCGTAGGTCCACTGAGGCTGTAGTGACAGGAAAAAAAATTCATTCCTTTTCAAATGACTGAACATGAGAAAAGTTGGAGAATTTCAAAACAAATTCTACTTAACTATGTCCTCTCTTTCAGTTACGGCCTTCTAAATTGGTCTCCTCCCTGAAAACAGTAGATCTTGTACTTCTTACGTAGGCCTTCCTTATTCTTGAATAAATTAGGACCAAACTCTTCTGCCGACAGATAACATGTATTCGCTCCCTTCCTAACCAAACTCATATGCTGACAGATAACATGAATTCGCTCCCTTCCTAACCAAACTCATCTGCTGACAGATAACATGACTTCGCTCCCTTCCTAACAAAACTCATCTGCTGACAGATAACATGAATTCGCTCCCTTCCTAACCAAACTAATCTGCTGACAGATAACATGACTTCGCTCCCTTCCTAACCAAACTCATCTGCTGACAAATAACATGACTTCGCTTCCCTCATAACCAAACTCTTCTGTTGACAGATAACATGATTTCGCGCCCTTCATAATCAAACTCTTCCGCCGACAGATAACATGATTTCCCTCCCTTGCTATTTCTATTTTATGTGTTTATTTTTATACCAGAGGCCCCAGAAAGCTTGGGGTAACAATAATTTGCCCTTCCGAAATTTTCGTTCCATTAATGGAGTGAGATTGGAGCTGCGTTCCCATCACATAAATAAAAATAAAGTGTACATAAATTTTAAACAATTCGTCTTGTTTTAAGACGAAGACTATCTGTCAGAATATATATTTGTGTTGTTAATTCATTGTAATTATTGAACAATTAACTGCTATCAACATCTTCTTGACTTACGTTTTATTTCCTTAGCATTAACAACTGTGTGAGCTACCGAGATCGGAGTAACTGCACAGATATTTATTATTATTAATTATAGGATTATGAGCTATTGTTGTATAGTGAAGGAGTTTTAGAAATTCTATAAATTCTGTAGAGATTAGAATGTATATTTTAATATATCACTGTGACGACAGTGTGAGAACTGCCCTAACGTTTTCATTTGATTCCAGGATCTCATACTAGTGGACAATATTACAGTTAATATTACACTCTAAACCGAATATGTGGAATCACATGATAGAAAAATGGAAGCCATTTCATGTTGTACACATGATTATTATTTCGTTTCTATTATGTATTTTAGAACTCTTTTTGAAATGGATTAATAAATAACGCGATGAAGCAAAATTCTTGCCTCGCAAATGGGTGATCCTTGAGTTTGTAAAGAAATTCAGTCTTTCATGGTGCTTGAAGGTTATTTAACGAGCAAAATATGAGATTCTAAAAACAATGAAGATTTATTTTGTAGTATTCTGTATTATGACACCATCTAGACTACTAGATGATTTCCACTACATGGTATCATAACCTAAAAGGCAAAAATCTAGAATGGTTTATTGCCATGCCTTCAGAAGTTTTCCACGAATTCCTATGCTGAAACAGATGAAACCTGTCTAGACCTCACATCTATTTATTTAAAATCAATTAATATACTCCTCTCATATAAGCTTATGACTATCAGGTTTGGAAAACTAACTGTTCTTATTATGTTCAACGAATTTAAGAGAAAATGCTGTAGTACTTACTTACTTACTCATAGAGCTGAGCCCTTCTGGAGGGGCCGCCAATTCTGCAGCTACTCAAGAATTTCCCAGCATATTATGAAACCTGAAGATTCATTACCGTGTTCACAAGAGCCCTCCACTGGTCCCTATCCTGAGCCAGATCTATCCAATCCATACCATCACATCCCATCTCTCTAATATTTATTCTAATATTGCCCACCCACCTACGCCTTGATCTTCCCTGTGGTCTCTTTCCTTCTGGTTTTCCCACCAATATCATATATGCATTCCTCGTCTCCCCCATTCGTGCTACATGAGCTGCCCACCTCATCCTCCTTGACTTGATCATTCTAATTATACTTGGAGAAGAGTACAAGTTATGAAGCTCCTCATTATGCAGTTTTCCCCAACCTCCTGTCAATTCATCTCTCTTCGGCCCAAATATTTTCCTCAACACCCTGTTCTCGAACATCCTCAGTCTATGTTCCTCCGTGTACTTCTAGAAAAGAAATAATTTTCTCACAAGCAAAATCGACACCAATATGCTTTCAAGTAACAGGTCATTTAGCGTCTTACGAATCAGAAAAACATAATGACAATTTGCAACAGTTATTTACAAAGCAGTACATTTAAACTACCGTCTCGTTGGTTTAGTGGTCAGAGTTCTTGGCTACAGATCCAAAGGTCCCGTGTTGGATTCCCGGCGCTACCAGATTTTCTGAGATGTAGTGGGTCTACTCATCCTCGTGAGGATAATTGAGGGGCTACTTGAGTGGAAAAGTAGCGGCTCCCGTCTAGAAAACAGAAATTAACGGCTGTGGGGATCCTTTGCGCTAACCACGTGACACCCTGTATCCGAAATAGTTGGTACTAACTTCGCTGACAAGCGGCGGTGGCTCAGTCGGTATAGTTCGTTTGCGCACTAAAAATACGGATTATAGTTTTAATACATCTAAACTTACCGAGAACGTACTTCCTTCTGGGAACACAATGTAACGTTTCCGACGTGAGAGGGTTGGCATATCGTTGACGCCATCATAGCTCCGACACGTTGTGTGAAAGACCAGAAGTGTAAATGGAATGGATAACAGCAGTCTCCACTTGAGCATAACTCTGCAGACACGAGCAATGCACGGAACAGGCTGGAACCGGGAGATTACTGGCAGACACATTTACACCCAGCTTACGTGATAATTTTTAAAAGTTGATAATGGAAAACTGCATAAGTGATATAGGATCGAATGAATGTGTTGATAAATAAAGGCATTTGTGTAAACAGAGACGCATATGACAATGTGGGAATAGTTATATACTATATGTGTATCAAATAAATAAGGGAGATTACCAATAATTAAATATAAGTAAAAAATTACATGAAATTATATATAAAGTTTATACGTGTTTCTTTATTTCTTTTACTTAAATGCTGGGCTAGTAACTTCCTTAAAAATAACATAACAGACGCCGTTTCCCCAAATTTTAAGATAATCTTTTGATGACGTTATTCACAAATAATTATTCTGCAAACAACACCTACAGCATCGTTACATAATCTTAATAGTTTTGCATGCTGTTGTGTGTCTCAAATAAGATATAAAGCATACAAGAATACACAGTGTACACAACAACACCCTGTATTTTAAAAGAAAGAAGACACTACTGTATCAACATTTGTAACAATCGTTAACCAGGACAGTCGCTCAAAGACCTCCACAAAACAGAAATACAATCCGTAGGTTTATTGATATATCTACTTCTCTAAAATCGCGAAAAGTTAGTTTGTATCTTTAGCTACCAGAAGAAACACGAACAAGAAAGAAAAGAAAAGAAAATGATTGTCATATCCGAAACTTGTTTTTACTGAGATGTGGCTCTGGTATTGCAAATCTCGTCCTGAAATGACGACCGCCATGACAGTTGACTTAACCCTTAACATGACGGCTGTAATAAGACATGTGGATTTCATCAGCATATAGTTAACATGGCCGTATGTGTGTTCTAATTCCGTGATTTTAGTCCGCAAGCGAACTATACCGACCGAGCGACCGCCGCTTGTCGGCGAAGTTAGTGCCAACTTTAGCGGATAGAGGGTGTCACGTTGTCAGCACAACGGATCCTCACGGCCGTTAATTTCGATATTCTAGACTGTAGCCAGTATTTCCTTGAAATAGCTCCTCAATTATCATCACGAGGCTGAGTGGACCCCATTTCAGAACCACTATTTCTCAAGAAAAATGTGGTAGGGCCGGGAATCGAACCCGCACCTCTGGATCTGTAGCCAGGAACGCTAACCACTAGACCACAGAGGCGGTCTGACTATTCCAACACATCTAGAAAAATAAAAAATTCTTCTAGCATCCTTTCAATCTATACATTCATTTTAGGAACTAAATAGTTTTTGGTGAATATTGCTGTACTTTTCACAAAGGTTTGACTGGGAAAATATATTATGCAGATTCTGCTTTCTTTATTTACCAGCCACGTAATACGGATAACATTTGAGTCAAAGAAAATAATTGGCCCGTCTGCTCTTCTTAATTACTTCTCCTGGGGCCAGTGTGTTTACCGTGGTTCATAATCTGAGCTTCCTCAGTGAGTTTGTTCCCTTTCGTGCTTAAGGTCAGGGATTTCCGTTTAGTGCTCATAAAAGTTATTTCCACTGCATAGACTTTCTACGATTATCAACTTATCGGCAGTTATGACGAAAGTGTTTGTAATAATATTGCATTTCTGCAAAAGTGCTCTAATCATAATAACCAATAAGAAAGAAAAGCTATCCCTGTAACAGGCCGTGAAGACCCATAGGGTTGTGAGACGTTGAGGGTCCCACATTATCTAGACAATCGGCTCAAAGATGGCGGTACGGTTGTCAGCCTTACGCGCCGGCCGCGCTTTACTCCCCAGGAAAATTATTTAATTAATTCGTGGTACTAATTTCTGTTAGAGGCTGAGTCTACCCAGTCTACCCAGGGCCATAGTGCTGCTGGAAGGATTAGGTCAATTGAATAAAAAAATCCAATGACCTCATCAGGACTTGAACCCGCGACCTTTAGGCTTGTAGCATAGTCCCTCAACCAACTACTCTACCCCGTGCTCCCTCAATAGTAAACATATTAACGAATGGCACGCAGTATGGCACCTACCTCATAAATTTGTTCGTCCGCCATGTTGTTAATGTTGACTGTGTGGAATTTAAAATTAGGGGGCTTAGGTGACCTCAAATGACACAACATTCATACTGAATGTGGTTTATTTGTTCAGACATTGAAGGGAGGGTTACACGTATAGACTTTCGGTGGTCCTATAACACTACTTTCTTCCTTAGCTATGAAAGTACACTAGAAACTAACTTAGTCCTTGATCATGTTAAGTTAATATTGCGAGCCGTAGAGGCTCTGATGTTGAAAGAACGCAACCAAGAAGACACAGGACAAAATATTGTCTTACCTGTTATCGGTAGATCAGTTTGTTAATTCCTATTACATATTTTCTAGATGTAGGTGTCCTTGAGGTTGATGAAATTGTAGATCTTACACCTTGCATAAAATCTTACTAACTGGTTTCCAGCCATGTAACCAGTAGATCTGTTTCTTTACCTCTAAAATATACATTTCAAATCGCAATATTTTCCTGCTGTACTGCCTCTGTTTCGAGCAAGAGGTTAATGGCAAGTACAAGTCTTGTTTTCACAAGTATTCGACGCTTTATACGTCACAGGTAAGCTAATGAAGTCTAATCAAGTGAGCTAACAGAAGAGCATTAACATGGAGACCAAAACGTTAGTAGATCTGAGTGGAGAATGGGCAAGTTTCCTTGAACTCCTAATTGCTGCTTTGAAGATAGTGCTTTACGTCATGAGTGAACGCTTACGAAAGACCGACCACAATAAAGGTACAGTCTGACCAGTACTGACAGCTTTTGCACTATGAGCAGGAGCGGCGTTTTTGCCGACATTAACAATCCTCTCGCTTATAAAGGCAGGAGTATGGGGGAAGGATACTTGAGGAGAGGGTGGGAGCTCGAGGAGTGGGGCGGAGCTAGATATTTCAAAGTATGGAAATGAAGACAGGACAAGACTGCCTAATAAGGAGCGTATAATTTTGTCAGAATATTCTTAAGATGATATAATCAAAAATGATACAATGGGGCAGCAAGAATAGGAGAAATGAGCCCAAATTCTACCCTGATAACTTAAGGAAAGAGACCATTTCGCAGATCTGTGCGTAGGTTGCAGGTTAGTCTTAAAATGAATTTAAAGAAATAGAATGTGAAGGCGGGTACTGGATTCAACTGGCTCATGATAAACATTCGAGTTGAAGGCTCTGCGAAAAAATAGTCGGTTTCGAGAATTTAGACTAGCTGAACCACTGTCAGGTTCTGATGGAACCTATTCAAAGAAGTAATTAAATTTTAATAACAATTTTCTTCCAGTATGGAAGTCCCATGTTCGAATCTTTTATCCTTACTGAATGCTGCAGTCCAGTTGTTAAAATTCTTTTGTATTTGGGAATTTTTGTGTTTGAAACTTAGAAAAAGTATCCTGTCTGAGGTATTCTTGATTTTCTCTAGTCCCTCTAGACAATTTCTAGAAAAAGAACCTTAAACAGGATACGCCTACTTCATTCCATATTATATCCAATTCATGTACACAGTAATTCTGCTGTTCTACTGAAACATGCTGTTGACAGAGTGCAATTAATGATTTTGGCCTTTCACATTGGTTCGTTGTTAATGTTGTTTCTGTACGTGGGTGTTTGCATCCTGTGAATGTAAACATGTTGCCAAAGTTTTGGAAGTACATGCTAAGGCCATCTTCAGAGTAGAATACTGTGACTCTGTGAAGCCACTCACATACAGCTATTGCCGAGGTCGATGATACGTGAATCTATACATCCACTGCTCCATAAGTTTTTTGGGCCTAGTTTTTCATTAATTAAGCACAAGGACAGATTTATCTTTTCTTTGGCTTTTGGTGTTACCTTCCACCCTTGACAAAATTTTTTTATTGCTAGTGGGGTGGGACTAAGTCCCTTGTACTGCGCCTACTTCTGGCCTATTGTACCAGCCCCAGATGATAGGCGACGGTGATTGTGAAGCAATTGGTGGAATGAAGACTGGCAGAGGAAACCGAAGTACTCGGAGAAAACCTGCCCCAGCGCCACTTTGTCCACCACAAATCCCACTTGATAAGATCCGGGATGGAACCCGGGCCGTCGCGATTGGAAGCCAGCGACTAACCACTTGAGCTATGGCGCGGCCGACTACCCATGACAGTAAATTGACACTGAATTTCATTTATTGAGGCAGCTTCAACAGTAAACACGTCATCTCCTTGGACTACAGGTAGTATTACAGTTTCGGTAAAATTTCATAACTTCTTACAGCTCACAGGTTCGTTGGATTCTGACGCTCTCTGCTTTCATGTACGATTCCTCATACTCGCCGTGCCCGACTCATCATTGTGTTAATTTAATATGTAGATATTTAAAGGATTGTAGGTTTATAGATGAATTGATGGAGAAGAATCAGAAGACGACAGTGACGCTAATAGACGTGTTGTATATGACGATGTAATGTTGTATATGACGATGTCATATAGTATATGATGATGTAATATAGTAGATAGCATTAATATAACAGGTGTAGGATGGATGAAATAATTAAGAGGGTTTTGGTTCATAGTAACATTTTATTAAACTTACATGTAATACTTATTGAGAATTTTGAACCGGAACTGCACAGGCTTGTCACATACTGTAACTCGACTTTCACCGATGTTATCTATCTGCCAGAGGCAAATAAGACTTATTTTGAACACAGGAATGCAAATAAGAATAGTCACATAGCTCCACTGAGAAACCGGTAAACATCAGTCAAAGTCCGAGAGAACAAGCCAAGGTCCGGAAAGGTCCATCATAGGAAATAACAATAGAATGTTCTCGAACATTCTCGAACATTCTAGAACATTCCTATCTGATGTAACGGGTATATTTCGGGGAAGCTTTCACGCAACCCCCACCACTACAGACAGGGCTATAAAAACCCTGACTCAAACCATCCACACGCTTTCTAATCTGATCACGAAGTTTAGTCTATAGGACGGTACTTTGTCAGATAGGAGTCGGCCACTGCTCAAGCCTTAAGCAGATTTGCTGTTGTCACATTTGTACAATTATTTACTGTGTAAATAAAACTCTCTTGAATCTTAGCATCTTCCAGCAGTACATCTCACCAACGACGGACGACGTTAGCCGCTCAACCGACTCCGTCCAGACCAACCCACAGGTACAAGTATCCACTCTGTCGCCCGACATTGTGGTATACGACAGACTCATGGTTTATTTGAACCTGGAAATCTGAGCCTACGGACTCACTGATAGTGCCCGTGGTAAAAACGAATAAAACTTTTTATTGGAAGAAGCGACTAAGTTGCATAGATGTGGTTGCAGATTTGCGATCTCATAGGAAATTGTGTGTCAGTTTAAATTCCAAAAAGCCAAATTCTCGTCTCAGTGTACACCGAGGAATCTCGTGCTTGATTTCGGAATTACGAACTTCCTCAGAGGGAGAAGGAGAGAGAGAGAGAGAGACTGTGCGTATATATGGCTCCGTGTGACTTTTGGCTATTTCCCAAGCTGAAAATGCCGCTGTAAGGAACCCGATTTGAGTCAAGAGAAGACATCATGCGGAATGCGACGGCCCGGCTGATCACCATTCCAAAAGACGCGTTCCAGAAGTGTTTCCAACAATGGCGGAAGCGCTGGGAGAAGTGTGTGCATTACCAAGGAGACTGCTTTGAAGGGGATTGGGGTTTTGTACCTCCAAATCAATAAATGAATTTCTGCCGACCAAAGGTTCGATACTTTTTGAACACACCACGTGTGTGGAGCTTTGCCTCTACGGCCCCGGGCACCGATTGTTGATTTCGTTGTGTCACAAGACAGATTTCACTATTGTTCTTATGGTCCTTACACACAGGAATATGAGTAAGAGGATCCTTCTGAACTGAATATAATATTGATATCCTTCTCATATAACTGATAATATTTTTCTCTCTGAAGTGTGTTCAGTTATTACTTGAGACTTGTATTCTTTAAGATCAAATTCAGGTATGATATTTTTGAGACAATATTTCGTTTAGATTTTCCAAAACGTACTCCAGTTAGTCGGCATCGAAATTACTATATTCAAATGAATATATGAATATATATATATTATATAAATAGAAAAGGTAAATTTATCCTTGTAACAAGCAATGTAGGCCCACATGGTTGTTAGAGGTCGAGGCTCTCACATTTTCTAGACAGCAGTTCAGAGATGGCGGTGAGGTTGTTATCCTTACGCTCCGGCCGCCCTTTACACCCAAGGGCATTCCTGGTACTCATTTCTGTCAGTGGCTGAGTCTACTCCAGGGTCATAGTGCTGCTGGAGGGATTATGCCAATTGAAAAATCCAGTGACTTCATTGTGACTCGAACTCTACTGGTTTGTAACAGTGTTCAACCAACTACGATACCGCGTGTTTCCATATTATATAAATATTTATTTTTCGTGCCTTAGTATCTACGTCTTCGAACTTAATAATTATTATATGAAAATAAATATGCAGTACATAAATATTTATAATTTATTTCGTTGGACTTGTGTCCCATTGAATGTACCCACAAAGCCATGTATCTCCCAAGTTCTCAATTCTGATCAAGATGATACATCTAACTTCCGTAGAACTGTGTTTCAAACAAAAAAACACTCTTTCTAATGCATATTTTTTATTCTTGGGACAAATTCCTGTGATTTCGTCTGTATAAACGTCTTATTCTTATTAAGGGCGTGCCCAGATTATAAGTTCGCAATAAATCACATTTATGCTAGCATGTTGCTTTACAATCCTTCACATATTTGCTGTTTGTTTATGTGAAACGTCTTAAAAACACACGTTTCAAATCTTAGACACTGTAGAGACCTTGTTTATAACTTTCAGTGAATGCATCCTGCTGTGTTTCATATATTATTTCTTCCTGAAAACCGCCACAACACAACACTCAATAATACGTGTAAGTAGCTCTAGGAGAGACATTGCTACACGTTTCGGCCTATCTCTCTCTCCTTCAGATCGGACATTTACACAACGGAGTCACCCGTCAAATAGTATCAAATATAAATAACAAGCCTCCGAACACCACATCAGCCTTTGTGTATATAATATGTCCGTATAAGCATTACATAAATTACGATTACAACTACCAACTTCCAAATNGAAGTTTAGTACTCTATCCTATATTTGACATGCAATTCAATAACGAAAAGTTTAGTGTATTTGCCTGATTATGGACTTTTGAAGGCCGAAATATGTAGCAAAAGTATCTCCTAGAGCTACTTACACGTATTATTGATTGTTGTGTTGTGACGGTTTTCGGTAAGAAATGCCTTATTTATAAGTCATATAAACTCCTTTCACAAGGTTAGGTGTTTCATAACCAGAAAGTTAAACGAGAGAAGTGAAGTTTTCTAGTCACAGATTAGGTACGTGTTATATGGACGTGCATGTGTAATTATGTGTATTTGTGTGTCTCCCCTTCATCTGTTTAACTCGAAGACCGCTCTTCTCTGAGTTGTTATACGTCATATTTCATGATGCCGTCCACTTTACTGCTTTTACCCGAGTAGCATATCTATCAAAGAAAATCTGCAAGCTCTGTACAAATTCAGACAGTTGAGGTTTGACAATCCGCGTCGGTGAGCCGCATCGTACACGTGGTGCTCTATTGGCTCGTACAGGTCAACCTCTTCCATTGGAAGCCTGAAATTAAGAAGAGTGTTTTTGATCACATCGGATAATAAACTTTCTTAATGATTTATGTGTAATTGATATCCGTTTCTCACTCCTTCCTCCTTTATTTTTGTTTATCCGACAGTTGCTAGGGAACCATACAAGGGTGTAATGCATAAAGCGCTCTGCATCCGTACACGATTTAACGGATAAATTTGTGTACTTGCTATTGCAAGCCTCATGCAGTGTCACGGTTCTAAGTAATACAAAGCGGGCTGTCACGTGTGTTGGCTCTTTAACTTTAATAGAAATAATGAGTAAGAATATTGCGGGAAATTTCATTGCTTTTACGAAGGAAGTGTTCATTAAAGTGACGTATGAAATAAGCATTTTTATTATTCCTATGCAATCTGTTGTAAGAGGAATCCACAGAAATTGCACGAGCGAAGGTGCTTCGAATCGAGATATCCCTAATTGCAGTGACTACAAGGAACTTTGATCGATGGCCGGATGCTATGGGTGTAGGTAGAAGTAGGAGGATAAGCACAAACCTTCACTTCTGCATATAATAATACAAAAAATATATAAATTAACAAAAATTATATCAAGAAAATTCATCGCCTTACAAATATGCCAATGTTATGACCTTCTACAACTTACAAATTCATTAAAATATGACTTGGAACTGAACTGGGAAAAGTACTTAAGCAGAAGATCTACTAAGGGAGGGGTTTAGTGTCGCGCCATAGCTCAAGCGGTTTGTCGCTGGCTTCCTAATGCTGCGGCCCGGGTTCGATCCCGGGGATGGTCAAGTAGGATTTGTGGTGGACAAAGTGGCGCTGAGGCAGGTTTTCTCCGAGCACTTCGGTTTCCCCTGCTAATCTTCATTCCTCAAATTGCTCCATAATCACACTCACCTATCATCTGGGGCTGGTACAATAGACCAGAAGTGGGCGCAGTACAAGGGATTTAGTCCCACCCCAATAGCAATAAAAATATAGAGGGGTTTACACTTATATCAAATTTGTTCATCAAAATCCTTGAGAACTTCTTCACTGATATTGTCGGAAAATTTAACATTATTTCTTGAGCGCAAAATTTGTTCATTAATGCAATATGTAGAATCATTATAGATGTAGTCTTTCCTGACATTTCCTTAATTAGTGATGCATAAATTGTTGAAAGGCAGTTATGTTATAGCCTAATTATTCATTACTATAATAAATATTTGACATTTACAATATCTTCTGAACAATTTCATTTTAAGTTCTATTTCTATTTATTCTACTAAGGAATAATTTTAAGCATGTTCTGAATGGTTCTGACAATAGCGTATAACTCTCTGGATTGTTTGATATTTGGACTCTGTATACGTCCGTTATACAAGCTCTCGGAGACTCGATTCGTTCCCATTCTCGGGTGAGGGATTGGAGACAGTTTTCTGTTGGATCTGTTAGAAATAACTGTCCTCAGTCACTGACTGGATCAGGAATGTATTTCACTGCAATCATAGAGCCCATAACAAACAGGACTGCTCTACTAAAATATTTTCAGCTTATCTCTGATTTCAACGGATCCTTCTATAATTATAACGTAAGTCTGTAGTCTTCGGAAGAGTTACGCGATATTTTACTGTTTAATAAAGCAACTATTTTTTAAAAGAACTCTACTTTATATGAAGCCGGTCACAGTAGCCGAGCGGTCTAGGGCATGTACTGTCTTCACTCTTCCGGAAGCCGGCATCTTATGTTCGAATCCAACACAAGACATGGATATCCGGTTTGTATATGCGTTTATTTTGTGTTTATGTTGTCCTGTGTTTAGGTGGAAGCCTTGCGACGAGCCGATCATTTGTCCAAGGAGTCCTACCGTCTATAAAATAATCATGAATCTGTGAAATCAGCCCTATGCTCCAAAATATGAGCGAAGATGAAGAAAAAAGTATTGTGACGCGTTACCTTACGTCCATCGCCGCGACAACCGCTACAATCGGAACGGACACTTCCACGACAACGAATACGTGGAAATTGGGGAGTTCCCGAAGCGACAAACCTTAGCAACGAATTTTCTTTGAGTAACAACTGATGAGACGAAACATGTTACCGGTGCATTCTATAAGGAACGTTCCCCTAACAACGGACTGTCTGAACAGCGGCAACGGAACCGTGAAATGGTGTCCGCTATCCGGTCCGTGTGACGCCTATATAAGCAGAGTCAGAGATGAGAACGAGACAGTCTTGGGATAACAGCCACCAGAGACAGTTGAGATCCAACCACGGCCAAGGATAGTTGAGACGTCGCATTAGAGTATTGGGCCAGAAGTCAAGTGATACTGTAAGCGATAATAATGGTACGGTGTGTAAGAGTGAGTGTGAGACCCACGTGAAGTTATTTGTAGCGTGACATACCCAAGACGTGACAATATATACAAATGTATATTTCTTTGGTGTTGAGAGAAGAAGGAAATGGCAGAATTAATATCGTTTGTGTGTTTATTGTTCGGCCGCTCTCTGCAAGTGTAGCCATACTCACGTGAACAAGATTCGCGTTATCTCTTCCCAGAGGTTGGCCCCTACTTTCAGGCGCTGCGCAGCTTCGCACAAAGCTTTTTTGATGCACGTTCGACCGTCAACTCCTGTTCTGTAAAGAAATATTCTTGTCAGCATTCGTTGGCAGCCCACTGGGTACATCACACCATAATATTAGTCTGGGATTACAATCTCCCAGCTAATGATACGGCGAAGGTAGTAACTAACATTACAGAGGATATTACTGCTTCCATCTTCAGGGTTATTTCTATCTGAAAATGGAGGAAATGTGTCCTCCGAACCCTTTTGGAAAAGTACGATAATGCATGGCGTCACAAGCCACACGACAATAAAAATTCTCATAGCAGCGTGAATGGTAGATCACAGTAACACTGTATACTCGCCAGTCTGCATTGATGATCCTGGATCAGTGTCCTGTCACTAAGCCCCACGGTTACCATATTGAGTTGGATTGCTTTTCAAAGGGTGTGTGGCTATAAATAGGATTTTGTAAATTAAATTATATTAAAATAGCACGAAAGCTGGAGTAAATCCAGCTTTTGAAATTCAGACAGCTGAATGTATCAAATGCAGGATTGAAACAAGGACGGTCATCCATTCACAAAGAATCATGTGATTTGTCCAGTTTCATTTCTGACTGCATTCTCATAATGTAAACAGCAAAATCACTTAAATATAATTTATTTATAAAGACATTTTCTCATTAAATTAATTTATTTTATCTAAATATTTTATGTTTATTTCAATATTCCTAATAGGAAAGGGAGACACGGTAGCGTAGTGGTTAAAGCACTATGCTACAAGTCGGAAGGTAGTGGTTCAAATACCGATGAGGTCACTGGATTTTTTCAGTTGACCTGATCCTTCCAGCCGCACTACGGCCCTGGGGTTGACTCAGCCTCTAACAGAAATAAGTACCAGAAATTAATTAAATAATTTTCCTGGCGAGTAAAGCGCGGCCGGCGTGTAAGGCTGATAAATTTACCGCCATCTAGAAAATGTAGGAATCTCAACATCTCACAACCCTATGGGCCTTCACGGCCTGTTACAAGGATAGCTTTACTTACTTTACTTTTATTCCTAATAGGAAATACATACAGAATTTAGACAAAGCCCTTTAAGGGAAGAGACTCCTTCGAAGAACCAGGCATGAATGGAAGAATAATGGCAATAGGTTTCACACAAACGTATGGTGACAGGTTATTGACAGAATTCAATAGACTCTAATTATGGTGCAATGATGAGCTCTAGAAAACAATGAAATTAACTTTAGGGTTCTGCAAAAGGCTGAAATTTATTGAACAGCTCTGTAACTCTAAGATTCCGCAGAGAAAGTAGTAAAATTATTGTGTCCAATGTAAGTGACACATCTATAGAACTTACGAATTCATCGCTGTCTCCAATCTCCGATACAGTTCCCGTCTCTGAAGTCGAAAGGTCAGCGGTGACACAATCCTTTTTGGTCGAAGATTGCGAAGAGTGTGATTAGGCAGATCGAAAGCAACAGCCCAGTTCAGTCCACTTGTGAATATATTTCCGCCTGCCACGGTCCTTATTCTATTGCTAAAAGCGAGCTGTAGGCAAACATAATATAATTGTGTACAACCTCTTTATTTGACTGTCACAACACAGCAAATATAGAACTACAAGGACAATGCTCAGTATAGTTCTGCTACATGTTTCGGCTACGAGTGGCCATCATCAGGCAAACACACTTCAACAAATGTACACCATTGAACTGCAGTACGTTTGCCTGATGATGGCCACTGGTGGCCGAAACATGTAGCAGAACTATACTGAGCATTGTCCTTGAAGTTCTATATTTGCTGTGTTGTGACGGTAAAAATAAAGAGGTTGTATATATTGCAACACGGCAGGATGCATGAAATTAAAATTATAATTGTATTTAGCTACTTGCTACATTGGGTCTGCTTTAACAAATATAGTTGCGTTGTGCGACGCCACTGAAATGAACATTTGTCCATTTGAAATACATATTTTATCTCAGGAAAGAAACCAGAAATTCTTACAAAATATGAGGCGATGTGCCTTTTGTCCTGTAGAGAATTTAACACCTTCCAGTAATTTGGCAATCAGTTGATTTATATGTGAAGTGAAAAGTATAGTCGTTCTTGTGCTTGCTTAAAAAGTTATAAAAAAATATAAATCTTTCCCCGTAACATGCCGTGAAGGCCCATAGGGTTGTGATACGTCGAGCCTCCTACATTTTCTAGACAATCGGCTCACAGATGGCGGTAAAGTTGTCAGCCTTAACCGCCGGCCGCCCTTTACCACCCAGGAATATTCCTGGTACTCCTTTATGTTAGAGGCTGAGTCGACCTCGGGGTAAGTTGTAACACTACAATGACCTCATCGGAACTAGAAAACCTTGACCTTCCGGCTTGTAACATAGTGCCTCTACCAACTACGATACCGCGGAAGAAGTTATGGGGGATAGAATTATAGTGTCACCTTTCTTGACCTCGGCACTGTATGGAGGTGAGCAGTGGCTTTACTACTGTAGGAAAATTCCCTGGTACCCACTGGGTAGGAGGTTATGTAGGCCACAGAGCCGGTTTGGATTCTGTGGAGAAAAGTCTCTTGTCCCTCCAGTGAATCGAACCCCGTCGTCTAGGCCGTAGCTCAGTATACTCACTCAGTTCTCTATATTTCATCTCGAATTTTGTAACGTATGCGTGTTAGTGCATTATCCGAGAAAATAAAGATAAATTAACGTTTTAATTACTGATCACCGAGTGTCATGATGAAGTGCATATTCTCAGAAACTGATACCTTATACTCAAGGAACATGTAAACGCAGTTAGAGCTAGTTTACAGCCAGTGAAATGGACCTTAGTGTAACTTACCGAGAACGTGCTGCCCCGTGGAAAGACAACATAACGTTTCCTGCGCGGTACGGTTATGTCGCTATCGCCGTCATAAAATGTCTGGCACGATGTGTGGAAAAAGATTAGCACCAGAAGAGTAAGGAGGAGAGGCTGATAATTGTCCATAACGGCACTGCAACATAGAGACGCATCGCATGCTTAAGCACCTGGGTTTCTGAAAAACCGAAATCGAAGTTTTCTAACTTATTATACAATTCTAAATTTCATGGAGAAAATAAGTACCTGTACACCGAGTGTATAAAAACATATGTGAAGCTACATTCACAGATACGAGCTCTATTAGAATTGCTCGAGGTCAGCTGGAGTTTTCCTGAAATAATGAAATTGCTTAGCCTAATTCTTTGAACAGATGTTTTTAATGAGGTTGGAGAAAACTGCATAATGAGGAGCTTCATAATTTGTATTCTCCTCCACGTATAATTAGAATGATCAAGCCAAGGAAGATGAGATTGTTTGGGTATATAGCACGAATGGGGGGAGAGGAGGAATATGTAGAGAATAGTTGTGGGAAAGCTGGAAGGAAGGAGATCGCTGGGAAGACCAAGACGTAGGTGGGTGGACAATATTAGAATGGATCTCAGAGCGATAGGATTGGATGGTATCAATTGGATTAACCTGGCTCAGGATATGGACCAGCGGAGGGCTGTTGTGAGCACGGTAATGAATCTCCGGGTTCCATAAAATGCTGGGAAATTCTTGAGTAGCTGCGCAGGTGGCGGCCCCTCAAGAATGGCTCAGCTCCATGAGTGAGTGATGTGTTGGAAGAAGTCTCTAGTTGCTTCGGTTTATAATGTTCTGAACACACACTTTGTATAGTCTGATATGGTGTTACTTACGCTTCGGGGGCAAGTACTGCTAGAATCACAATTATCACATCCATGGAAATATATCGCACTTTGTGACTACGAAGACTTGTATCTCTATGTTTGTTGCATTATTCCCATAAGTACGTCTCATACAGATTTCGTTAAAAACGTTACAAATGAACGAGGTTCATCATTTTGAAAAGAACACGAATATTATATACTGTAACAGAAAATGCTGTACGCTGATCTAACTGCGGGCATAGAACGCTTGATGTATTATATTATGTATGGTGTGCCGTTGAAGGACACGAGGTATCATAGATGGTTGAGGCACTATGTTACATGCCGGCAGGTCGCTGCTTCGAGTCACGATAAGATCATCGGATTTTTCATTTGACCTAATCCTTCTAACAACACTATGTCCCTGGGGTCGACTAAGCCTCTAAAAGAAATGAGTACCCGGAATCTATTTGGGGGTTAAAGGGCGGTAGGCACGTAAGGTTGACAACCTTACTGCCATCTGTGAGCCGATTGTCTAGAGCAAGGGTCTCCAAACTACGGCCCGCGGGACAAATGCGGCCCGCGATGTGATTTTATCCGGCCCGCGAAAGAATTGTGCAGAAATGCGCAAATTGAACTAATTTCCAATGAGTACTGGTAAGAAAAATACTTGTTCATAGATTTCAAATTCAAATTGAGTTTAAAATATACTGATATTCCATATTATGTTAATATAAATATTATTCACAATTTTACTAATTCTGGACCGTATACTGCGCGGTATTTCTTCGTACTTNAACAATTTCGGAAGCGATTTACTGATTTGGATGCCAGTGCTCAGGAAATTAGATTGTTTCAAAATCCGCTTGACTGTGATACTGCAGATGTCCCAAGTCAAATTCAAATGGAAATTATTGAACTTCAGGAAAATTATCATTTTAAAGCCAAATACAAGGAAGGAATTTCTGAACTCTGAGCAATTTCCAAATTTAAAGAAATTTGCTTATAAATTTATCTCCATTTTTGCGACGACGTATCTGTGTGAACAAACTTTTTCCCAGATGAAATACATCAAGTCGAAATACAGGGCAAATTTATTCGATGAACATTTAAAGTCGCTACTTGTGATTAGCGTTTCAAAATTTGAACCTCAATTTAATCAGATTTTAAGAACGCAGAAAGAGTTCCATCATTCACATTAATTGTTTTATTATAATTTGTGATGAGAATATGAGCATTTGCTACTACTGTCTGTTGTCATTAATATACGATAATTTATTCTCACGTACTTTGTATTTAGTTTATGAAATTCTGTGCTTTCAATAAAATAAATATACCTAGAGCTAGTAATTTCTCATTTTATCCGGCCCTTTGAAAGTGCTGAATTGCCTAATGTGGCCCGCGGTTCGAAAAGTTCGGAGACCCCTGGTCTAGAGAAAATGTGGGAGCCTCAGCGTCTCACAACCCTATGGGCCTTCACGACCTGTTGCAGGGATAACTTTACGTTTATATTTATGGTATGCCAGTAACGAAAATGCCGAGTTATACGATTGAAACAGGAATAGAGATGAAGTTGCCTGTATTACAAATAATCGAACACCGTTCGAACCAAATTTACAAAACACAGTGAGTGTTTCGACATGCTAATCAAGAGATGCACGTGTGTAAGAGCGCCTGTATGTTAACGCACCCGAATTATGATTTCCATAAATCATGAAAAGATTACACAACTACTCAAGTCGTCACGTTTTCATTCTATTCATGAAAGAAAAATTGTGTTTGAAGAATAGTGGTTCAGGAAGTAACCACCAGCGTGCAATAAATACAAAACTGTGATGGCATATAGAGAACACTTAAGAGGTGCCTCCAGCAAGAGGAACATGTCTGAAATAATTAAGATTAAAACATTGCTTCTCTTATAATAAACAAATATTCTATTCGCGTGCATTTTTCAATCTTAGGTGCTGATTATTCGTTGACGAGGGAAATTATTTAGGCCTAGAGAATGACTAAACAGTCATTATTAAAATTTCAATGTATACCGGTATTATACACTCTAAATGAAAAGTAAATAAATATAAGTTTTTAATATATGCTTCAAAGTCTTGATGTAACAGAGCATTACGTCAATAGAATGAAAGAAACCATATGTATACCTAGGCTTAAGTCAATAAAAATTATTTTATTTTATCAACAGCAACTGTGGACCATGGTTGATGGCTGAATATAAAAGATTCAAAATATATTCCTGATGACACTTGCTTACTGGAAATGCCTGTCGACATGGAAGTGCCTTCCATTTTCTCGATAAAGTTTGCTTTATTGTTCTCATTACCTGATAAATATTAAACGAGGTACCACCAGAAACACATGCAATTTTTCAAGGAAAATCGTGTTTACAAGACGGGCGACCTATGAACTTAATAGGCGCTCCTCAGGTTTCGAAGTGGCTTAGAAACAATTAAGACATTTCGTTGACAGAATCCGTTTGTATGAGTATTTTCAAGGGCTAACACTATGTCAAAGGAAGTGTTCAAAGATACTAATGTGGTATTCTATCTACACCGAAATCTTGACAGAGTAGCAGGCGATATGATTTCTGTTGTAAGATTTGAGGCTTTCACGGCGGTGACTATGAAGAAAGCCCACTGCTTTTACCGGTTCTCACGGTCTCTTCGCTTGCGGATTTCTTATATTTTTCCTTCTACCCTGAAGATGGAGGCGATACGTTCCTCCGAAACGTCGGTTAACATCACATATACACGGTGCCAAATCCCAAAAGACAGCTTTCTTCATGATTTCTGTTGTTCATAAATAGATTGATGTGTATTTACGTTACATACAATAGTCCCTTTTGTGTGTCGGTGGGAGATGTTCACATTATTCTAATGCTCTAAACCGCAACACACAGATTCCTTTGGCGCTACAGCACCAATTTGGGCCTTGGCCCACCTCCATGAAACTCTCCGTTTCACTTCGCTTTACTAGATTTTAGACATTCAGTAAGACTCTTTGGGTGGGTGATCAGCTTGTCACAAGGCCTGTTCACCAACACAGAAAAACGTACACACACAAACACTAAACATACATGCCCTGAGTGGTATCCGAAGGCACCAAGATCCCAGCTTCCGAGCGAGCGAAGACAGTGCATGCCTAAGACCGCTCGGCAAATGTAACCGGCGAATGGAAGGTTATCATATGATTAAACTGTAAATATAAGTACCTATGCATTCTGTTATCCGTCATGCTGAAGTAACTGAATTCTGTTTATTAGTTTTCTCCGTATACAATAAATTTCAACAGCATGTTCTTCGTTTTTTTTTTGATGGTCTTAAACAATTGATGGTGGGTTCCAGATGAAGTCCCTCTGTTAAGGCATGAACAGAATCCATCAATTGTGCTGGTGATGCCTTGTGTCCATCACTCTTGACGCCCTCCAGCCCTGCCTGAATATGCCAGCAATATACCCGAAATATACGAAGTTCACATTGAGAAATGTGATTATTTCCTTGTTTTCGATACAAGACTAATGGCAATATGTGGGGTACAAAAACCCAGGCTCTGGAAATGAAAAAGTTTTCTGTGCTTGCAAAAATGTAATTCTAAATTTTAAAACTTATTTCCCTGTACTGGAAAGTAATGTGTTTTAGTAATCTAACTTGCCCCTAATTACCACTTGGTCTGTCCTAATCTTAAACAGATAGAAGGCTGCAATGACCTGACAGAACTTGTTCTTCTATGTTCCATAAATCATAAAACACATCGAAATATAGTCTCGGAATGTTAAAGCATATGACTGAACCTCGAATCCTAGCGGCCTCCGTAGTCTAGAGGTAACGTTCCCACCTCATGACTCGTGGTACGCGAGTTCAAATACCCGGCAGAGGTGGTCGAATTTTTAAGGGCGGAAAAATTCAGGGAACAAGTCCTCCGGGAGGGACTTAAAGCGTGTGTCCCGTGTCGTAGCTTTACGGCACGCAAAAGAACCTCATATCTCCAAAGGGGATCACTGAGCCAAATTCCAGGACGTTTCCCGCCCAACAATAGTCTCTAAGGCCTCTGATAGATGGGGGAAGCATTATAGACACCGCTAAGCAAGTGGCCGAACTCGCTTGCTCGGCGGGACTGATGTTACGCACCATTTATCGGTAGGGTAAAGAGACTGGTAGAATATCATAGAGGGAAGCACAATGGACCACTACTGGTCGCGGTGCATGGGGAAACCCACCCTCTCCAATAAATAACTAACCTCGCATCCTGGAATGGGCAATAACTCGTTGTGATACATAAGAAATGGTATGTCCTCTTCCAAGAATACTAATAATTTATAACGAAATAGTCACACTTTCATATATAAAGCTTACAAGAGAATTATATGGGCGTTATTTATTCTCTTGGGCATGTTATACACACGACGTTTCAGGAAGAGCCAATTACCGAAACGTCATGAATATTACATATGTCTTAGACAGTGGACGATATATGATATGAACGCGGAGAAAAATATTATTTTAACAAATCTGTAGAGAATCGTGACACTGACCTGTGCTGACAGCGGACGGTGTATCCTTCCGCGAACAATTTTAATGCTTACGATTTCGTTCCTGTGTTTCTTACCTCAGCCAGTCCGTGTGGAGTACCCGTACTATGCGATGAAGATTCTAATTATCGCTGACAATATGATATTATTTTGATAACATGACAAGTCTCTTGTGTAACAATACTCGCCGAATTTCGCGTCGGACTCAAAACGTATGGTAACTGGATTGTATTGACGAATCTTCAGCGAGGTTAAGACATGTGAAGCCATGTGAGCCAACAGCAGAAAGTCAACATTTGAGCTTGACTTGAGTAATTACGTTCGAGTGGTAAAACAAATTTTTAAGGCTGTGTAAATAATACCGTATTCTAAAATGAGTATTTATGTAACTGTAGTCCACTCCTCGACACTCCTAAACACACTCATGGTCTCATTAAAGCAAAGTAATCTACATTTCACTGAAAGTTGCCGTCAGGTGTTTCGCCTTTTTACTCGAGATATTTCAGCTTATGTTTTCAGTCCCGAAATCCGTATTCCCGAAATCGTATTATTTTTAGTACCTCCTGAGAGATGCTTAGCATATCCCTTGAACGCTTCATTCCATACAACATGCAATACTCAATCGACAAGTTTTGACGCTGTAGAGAAACTCTTGCAGTTGATAGAACGTCATTGAGTATACCGTAAGTAAATAAGTAGGAATTTTATGAATATTTTAAGCATTGAACAATTTAAGTAAACATTCGTAATTCCTTTGTTTAATGGAAATTTCTGTCTTGTTCTATGAACCTAATATTTGGGGCTGAAATCCACTCTCCTCGTGCTCTTCCAGCATTACTAATATTATTACTCTGATCTAAGCTAGCTCAGTGGTGTATAATCCTATCCATAGTTTTAATCTGATAAGAACATTCAAATCAGATTTACAGTTTACAGGAAAATCAGCCACAGACATCTTTTCAGAGACGAGTTCGGTTTCCACTCCATTAAATCGTTTGATTTCGTACAGGTTACTTGCCCTCGTTAACCTCCCATCTACCATCAGTACAGCTGCTCGTTCTCCTCCATCTCTTTCTTCCTCTTCTTCTCTTCCTCCTTCTATTACTACTTTTTTCTATTTTTTTTAATTCGCTTAGCTGGGGTGGAGTCCAACTGGGTCCACTCGGCACGGCGGCCACTGATTGGCCTATTTTAGTCTGCCCCGGATATTATGATGATGGAGAATTTGGTGGAATGAAGATTGGTAGGGGAAACCGAAGTACTCGGAGATAACCTGTCCCAGCGCTACTTTGTCCACCACAAATCCCACTTGAACAGACCCGGGATAGAACCCGGTCCGCCGCGGTAGGAAGCCAGCGACTAACCGCTTGAGCTGCTGCTACTTAGTAGTAGTAGAAGATTAGAAAATTTTATGAGAAGGTTAGTGTGGAGTAATTGTAAATTATGTAAATCATTTACGACAAGTAAGTATCCAATAAATCTAATTACCAACCAAAACCCGTGTCTTAATCACTGTAACACGTAACAACATTAATTCTATTTTTCTAAAAGAATCTGCCGTAATGTTGTTGCTTTATCCATCTAAGAAAAATGAGATGTTCTAATAAAGAGGACATATTGCGAATATAGGTTCACTTATTGTCTTAATCTTTGTAACAATTAATCTTGGTATTAAGTATATTAATCTTCATTTTTCCCACCTTCAGATATCATGTAAACAGGAAAATGCGAGGGTCAATTTTCTCATGACAATGACTTTAGACGATACGTGTTTTCTGGGATACGAAGCCCTGTAGGCTGGTATCCTATCATGCCCCAAATTTGGGGGCAGAAATTTCTTCCGAAATATCAGTAATAATCTTCCGTACTACTTGACGTGTTATCACAGAAGACAGTAACCTTGAATGGACTACTTGCACGGCGTATTTGAGTTTTGAGTTAGTTTATATTTCTTGGTGGTTATAAATGTTCGTATTTGGGCGCACTGAGAAACACGTCGAGCAGTGAAAAAGGACAAGTCGAATACGTGTTTGGACAGTCACGGTTGGACAAACCGCGACGGTAGGCCGCATCATACTCGTGGTGTTCTATCGGCTCGTACACGTTAACTTCTTCCTGAGGAAGTCTGAAAACAAAATCACGTCCAGTGAGGCGTGCTGCCCAATAACCACATGACGTAACACAATGCATATCAGCGGTCAGACACATACGTGCATATAGGATGCACTCTATGTATTTCTTTTTAGCTTGTTTCATCCGTACAGATGAACATAATATACTTTATGCGAATTCTATTCCATTTGTAATTATCACTCCATGTTACTGAGAGCTGAGATTTTATGTTTCCACTAGAAGGAGTATTGAAGTGATGGGATTATAGGTATATAGGTTTTATGATTGTAAATATTGGGGGGGGGGCGGAATTGGTTGCCTTCATCATCAGTTTAAAAATAAAGGGACACTGAAGATAGAGGCATTAGTGTTCTCCGAAACGATGGTAATAACCTACCAAAAACAAGTTGTCATAGACCAAAAAGACAAAACATGAATAATATGGCTGGTCTACAGAACTGAATGTCAGTTTTGGTTAATGTTAGTGCTGTGCCCTATTATTGTAGTCCACAAGCCTGAAAAAAATTGTGACTTCACTGTAAATTTTTACACCATCTATTATGTATACATTCTCCTCCTCCTTCTATTCCTGTTATCTTTTATTTTTGCTAGTGGGGTGTGACTACGTCCCTTGTACTGCGGCCACTTCTGGCCTATTGTACCAGCCCCAGATGACAGGTGAGGGTGATTGTGGAGCAATTGGTGGAATGAAGATTGGCAGGGAAAACTGAAGTACTCGGTAAAAACTGCCCCAGAGTCACTTTGTCCACCACAAATCCCACTTGACCAGACCCGGGATCGAACCCGGGCCGCCGCGGTGGGAAGCCAGCGACTAACGGCTTGAGCTATGGCGCGGCCTCCTTTTCCTATTGCTCGAACTTTGAGCACAGGGCATTTGTGAAACGCTCGTTTCACTTCAGTTTCTTAACCTTAGACAGCCGGTAGGATTCCTTGGACTAGGGATCAGCCAGTACAAGAACGCTACCTCACACAAACACAGAATAAACGCAGACATCCATACTTTGAGTAGAATTCGAACCCAAGATCCCAGTGTCCGAGCGAGCGAAGACATTTCATGCCTTAGACCGCACGGTCACTGTAATCGGTAGACGTTTTATTACGAAATGGATGTTCATACTGTTAGAACGACGTGGGACGGGGCGTTCTTGTAAATTTTGCAATGAACTTAAAGTTTCCTTAAAAGGCAATAAAATTCTTGACTCTCTCAACCAGTATATGCTTCTCCACTCCTCTGGCATAAGCGTGAGTGAGTAGTGTATTACGAAATAATATTAGTCGTGTTTTAAGTAAGTTCACAACAAAATTTCTTTGCAATCGAATTCTTGTATACAGTGTAAAGATCAAATTTGGTCGTAGTGTACCCCTAATTTCATTCATTCATTCATCAGTAATCAGTAATCCGTTCAAACCACTCTGGTCACGCCTGTTGCTATACGAACTTGAACCATTTCGAGCATCATTTTCTCTGTGCTTCAAGTCGCTGCTGATGACGCTGCTTCCGGCATCAGTTTTCGGTGTCTCTCTTCGTCTGATGCCTACCCTTTCACCTGTCCAGCAAGGGAGGCCCTGCCAGTAGCTACTCTACCGCTGGTATAGCTCTCAGGGTCCCTGGCATACTCAAACCCCCTCACCACGATAGGGTGGAGACACCAACGAGGGGACTGTGAATATATTCAACACAAATGATGTTGATACAAACGCTGCACAGAGATCAAGAATATTGCATGAACAGAAGCCCACGAAGCTCCCATGACGGTGCACAGAGACCCAGTGCAGTGCACGAACCGAAACCTATGAAGTCCGCTCCGCGCCCCACCCCTAATTTAAGGAAATAATTTACTAATTCTGGCTATTAAGTAACTTCACAATTGGCAGCTTATCAAGAAGGGCTCAGCTACATAAGTCAGTGAGTGAAGTAACTAGCACTGAATAATATTTAATTGAATTAAACTTACAAGAACATGACGCGCAACATTTCTTGACTGAAGCTTTCCCTGGACTTAAGCCGTTGCGTAGCTTCACACAGAGCTCTGTTGATGCATGCGCGACCATCCAGTCCCGCCCTGAAATAGAATAGGAAGCCTTTGCACATATATTCGTCTGGAAGATAATTCATTACCGGTATTCCATTTATAGCAGTTGGTTATAATTTACTGCAGTTCTTTAGTAGAAGTTTCTTGTCTGACTGGGAGAGATTTTCGATTTATTTTTTTCTTCTCAGGATTATGAGTTATGAAGGGTGAGAGGTAGGGGGATTGAAGAGCAACTAATAATTTTCTGTATTATCCTGGAATGAGGTTTTGGAAATTTATGAAAAAGTGATAATTGTCTGGTAATATAGTTAATATCAGAGAAGAGTACCGATATTTTTAATTTTGTTTCAAGTCTTCGTATTATAATCATAGTATCCCATGAGAAGATTCTAAAATAAGAAAGCAAATTCACCCTCCTGAAACTTAGTAAATTTGCTGAAATAATAATCTGAACAGCTCACAGTAAATATTATCAGTGTGTGAGTGACTACAGACGGGGTTTGGATATGTTATTGGATTTATTGATTACTCACAGATGGTAATTATAAGTAACTATAGCGTTACCGCTATTTCACACATTCTGCAGTTCACTACATCACGTACTATGCCATCTCAGTCTGCTGTGTTCTTACCAGCAGTTGCCTGGTAACGGCTTTTAATGGAGGACTCTCCCTTTACTCTGGGTTTTCTAATAATCCCCATGCCTCAGTTAGCAGCTTCTAACAACAACAGCTAAAAACGACTGAACTACAGTTACCTGACTAATTAAATCACCAATAATCACTTCACTTTCTTACACTGTAGGGTGCTAACTCACTAATTGTCCTGTGTATAATATCTAGGCACGAATCACACAGAAAACACCGTTGCCGCTGTTTACGAGCCATTGTCTAATAGCAAACGTCGTTTGTTTCGGGGTTGTTTCCTAGCAATGGGTCACAATTCATTCATCAGTTGTAGCCGTACCACTGATACAATCAGCTTTATCTGTAATCAATATTTCTTTTTATAGTAATTATACACAAGAGGTAGCAAGGAACACTCAAGGGTGACTTAGCCCGATTCTTGGTTTCAAGAATAGGGCCTGCTTCACTGCTACAAAGACCAGGCAGGAAGCACGCTACTGGTATAATTTTTCAAGCAGCTGTCAAAAACGACGTTAGGACTTGTCCAAAGTCCCAAATTAATGTTATGTGATTGGAGCAATGAGAATTATGGTTAACTCCCTAAATTCGAATTGTTCCAATCAGCAGAAATTAGCGTAGTAACTTGGAGGCGGAGCTGAAGCCGCGAAGATTCCTTGCTTCGAAGCAGGGTCAGTCTGCGAGATGAGTCTCTGAACAGCCCTCCAAGTGTACAGCCGAAATTATGTTTAAGTGTTTGCAGGAACAATCTCTGGATAACTCTTCTAAATTTAACGTGAAATTTTCTTTGTGCTAAAAGTATAAGTGAAAGTGCAATTCTAGGGGTTGTGCTAAAAGAAACAGCCGCTAACTAACTAGCCAGGGATCCGGTCGCCAACGTTGGAGAGATTTCCAGGTGTTTTATGGAAGTGCAACAAGTGCTGTTACATGTACGTGTATAGCAAGATCGGCTAATTAAACACTGTGTGTTAGTGCCTACCTAAAACACTCTTCTCTTTCCCGTATTCACCCTGAGACCGAATCTCATCGCTCCAGTGAGAACGCGGTACCTAGCACCTGTAGTTTCCAGTTCGTCCCCCCTTTTCCCCGAAATGTAAGCCGTTACAGTAAGCTTACTGGCGCCCAGCACTCCGATAACCCATACCCCGCAAACTATTATCCACCAGAACAACAAAAAAGGAAACAGAACTGGATAGGAAGGACGCAGCAGCAACCTGCCAACTCGAAGTAACAACAGGTGAGAGGGAACGGCTACAGGAGCAGATGCAACCAGCAACCAAAGGGCTCTTCAGAGGACTGCCGGAGAAGGACGGTTAGAAGGAGTGGCCCCAAACGCAAAGGGCCTTAACGCACTAGACGGTTAGACAGTTATATGTCAGACGACAGGTCCACAGTCTTTTCCAAAACAGTTCCTCCACTTAATGCGATCTTCTGTTTTTGGAAAGAGACTATCCAGGAAAAGTGATAATGTGGTAGTTTTTCAATTTGCTTTCCACATCGCAGTACAGCAGCCGTTCAAACCACTCTGGTCACGCCTGTTGCTATGCGAACTTGAGCCATCTCGATCATCATTTGCTCTGTGCTTCAAGTCGCTGCTGATGACGCTGCTTCCGGCATCAGTTTTTGTTTTTGGTGTCTCTCTTCGTCTGATGTCTACCCTTTGGCCTGTCCAGCAAGGCAGGCCCTGCCAGTAGCTACGCTACCGCTGATATAGCTCTCAAAGTCCTTGGCATACTCAAGCCCCCTCACCACGATAACGTGGTGAATATATGAAATTTATTTAACATTTACTTCTATGGTACTTAATAAATCGCCATGTGAAATATACACAGACATATTACGTCACTTCCTAAGTAACTGGAATTAGATATCTGCTCTCCTGTATTGGGCATATTACCATTTCTTTTATTGCTAGTGGAGTGGGACTAAGTCCCTTGTGCTGCGGCCACTTCTGGCCTCTTGTACCAACCCCAGATGATAGGTGAGTGTGATTGTGGAGCAATTGGTGGAATGAAGATTGGCAGGGGAAGCCGAAGTACTCGAAGAAAATCTGCCCCAGCGTCACTTTGTCTACGAGAAATCCCACTTGACCAGACCCAGGATCGAACTCGGGCCGCCACGGTGGGAAGCCAGCGACTAACCGCTTGAGCTATGGCGCGGCCCAAAATACCACTTGCTTTTAGTTCTAAAAGAGATGAAGATGTTAGGAAAACTGAATATAATATAGATAGAAGTAGAATGACTGACGAAAGAATACAGGAAATTTTCCAACGATGTAAACCAAAAGGACGCAGAGACTGAGGAAGACCTTGAAAGAGGTTGTGAAAGGAACTCGATTATCTATACAGGGTGTCCCAGGAGTTTGGTGCCATACTTCAGAAGCATACTGAGGGTTCCTATAGAACAAACTTTAAAATAGGAATCCATGTCCTCAAACGTAAAATAGCAGCGCTAGGGCGGAATTTAATGTAATTTCGTTTAAACTTGGCGCCTCAATGCCGAAGAGCATGCACAGGCATATTACCCCCTCCAGACTCTTAAGACTCACCTGCTAGAGTAGATGTTGGAATTGGCGCCCTTCATTTTCAAAGCATGCGTTACATCGACGAAAGAAACTTTGGCGCACCTTTCAAATATTCCAGGTGCCTCACGGATCACGTCACTTGCAATAAGTATTCTGGCCAAGAGCTCGAATTCATTATCCACAGACGTGTCGTAGATCAGGCTGTTCACATGGCCCCAGACGAAAGAGTCCAGAGGTGTCAAGTCTGGGGATCGAGGTGGCCGAGGCACTGGGCCTCCTCTTCCTATCCAACGGCCATGAAAAGCAGCTTCCAGGTAGTCTCGTGATACAATGCTGAAGTGTGCCGGCGCTCCGTCATGCTGTATCCACATTTGCCTCCGCACAATCAGTGGCACGTCTTCTAGCAAAGTCGAAGGATACGTTCCAGGAACACCTTGTAAAAGGGCCCATTGAGTCGCGGTGGTAGGAGGAAAGGCCCCATCAAGTGATCGCCAATGATTCCCGTCCAGACATTGACAGAATATTGCGCCTGGTGGTAACCAACTAAGTCAGCCCAAACGTGGCTGTTTCGACAGTTGAACCAGCCATCCCTTGTAAACTGCGTTTCTTCTGTGAATAACACGTGATTCAGGAAGTTGGGCTGATGTAAACACTGGTTCAGTATCCACTGACAAAATTGAACTCGCGGTACGAAGTCAGCTGGACCTACGCCGTGTACACGGGTTGGATGATACGGATAAAGTTGTTGGCCGTGCAGCATCCTCAAAACACTTGATTCTGATGTCCCCACAATCTTGGCAATGGCACGAATGCTGGTGGATGGCTGTTCCTCTATGCAATGCAGTTGGACATTGAGGCGCCAAGTTTAAACGAAATGATTTTAAATGCTGCCCTAGCGCTGCTATTTTACGTTTGTGGACATGGGTTCCTATTTCAAAGTCATTCTATAAGGAACCCTCAGTACGCTCCTGAACTATGGCACCAAACACCTGGGACACTCCGTATAAACACGTGAATAGGAGAAAGTACTACAAGGACCATAACCTTTAATTGGCTAAGAATTATTTAGAGCAGCAACGATTTTACATATTTACAGTTTAAATTCAGTATGTATATATGTATGTATGAAGGGGTACGCCTACTCGGCCCTTGCACTTAGACCTCAGTGGTCCATTGTGCTTCCCCTTTTTAATTATTCCCTCAGCAACCCCACGCTTCGGATGAAGCGCAGGATTTTGGACGTGGGGGCGTCGAAATAGTCACTTGGTTCCATAAAGTACTGACCCAAGTGACGTAGTCTTAAAGAAGCTAAAGCCTCACATTCACACAGGACGTGTGTGGCTGTTTCATTTTCTATCTGACACCTCTCACAAGTGGGACTATCACTTAGTCTCAGTTCGAACAGGTGTCCTTTGAGGTGACAGTGTCCTGTAAGTAGTCCTGCCCCCCATCGTAGCTGGTTCCTGTTGAGCTTCAACAGTTCCTTCGCTCTTTTATCAGAAGGTCCTCGTATGAGTCCCTTAGCGTGCATGAGTCCAGTTAAGAATTGCCACTATTTCTTATGTTTTATGTTAGTCCAGTCCCTGATTACCAGTCTGGCAACTCCCATAGAAATGCCACAGGCTGGTTCAGGTCCTATGAACGGATGTTCAGCTCCAGTTTTAGCTAATTGGTGTGCTGCTGCTTCGTTTCCAGCAATANGTACCGCCCAAGGCTGAAACTAAGTTTCCGCCTCGTACCATGGCAGTACACACCAGCTCCAGTGCCTCTATGTGTCTTGGAACCATCTGTATACCAGATCAGTCCCCCTTTTCTGTCAGGCTGAAACCCGTCTTCCCATTCACTCCTTTCAGGAAATCTGACTTTGAAGGGTTTTTCATATACATGTCTCAGTATCATTTTGTCAGACCCCATTTGTAATATGGGTTCTGTTTTCATGTCCTGAGTCATGTCTGCATGGCCGAAACCATCGGATCTAGGTTTCTATTGTCCACAGCAGTGGAGACGGTAAATTCCTGCCCTGGCCTCTGCATCCATCTGCATATGCAGTGGGGGGAGTCCAAGGAGTATCTCCAGTGCAGCTGTTGGAGACGTTCGAAATGCTCCTGTAATACCTAAGCAAGCCAACCTTTGCAATTTGCCAAGTTCCATCTTTCTTGTCTTGAGTTTAACTCTGGGCCACCATACTGTGACACCATAAGTAATTATGGGTCTCACAACCGCAGTGTATACCAAATGTACAACGTGTGGCTGTAGTCCCCAAGTTTTACCAAACATGCTTCAGCATGTCCAAAAAGCCTTATAGGCTTTGTTAATGACTTTGTCCAGCTGCTTTTTCCATGTCAGTCCCTTGTCTAATATTAGACCAAGGTACTTGACATCGCTGGAGAGCTGGATTGTCTTGTTGAAGAGAATCGGTTCCTTAAGACCCTTTACATTTCTCTTCCTAGTAAGTGGTATTATTACCGTCTTGTTGGGATTGATGGATTGATTGATTGTTTCACACCATCGTTGGACCATGTATAGAGCTGACTGAAGACGCTCTGATACGGTCAATTAAATTCAGTAACACAGAGTAGTTTAAATAAAACATTAGGTGAATCAACCTTATCTTACGCCAAATAAGATAACTTTTCATTCACTAAATCACTAATGTAGCACCATGGAGCCGCTGTAAATCACCAGACTAGTTCGTCATTCAGTATGTATACCTATGGACGTATCCTTCCACCAAATCCGATAATAAACCTTCACCTACTCACCATATCATCCACTAGATAATCATATGTTGGGGGGTCATTAACATAACAGCAACGAGTAGTTCTGGGGACGTGCTCGAAACAGGTGCTCGTTACTCACGAATGCATTGCCGTCTCCAGCTTATGATACAGCTCTCGTCGGTTTCTGCGTAAGATGTAGGGTACCACAAGTCTCTTCGTGTCGGGATCGCGGATGGTTTGATTCGGGAGTTCGTAAGAGACGGCCCAGTTCACTGCTTCGGTGAAGATAAGAGGGTCCGAATCCAGTATTCCCCACTGGACACAGAATGCGATCTGTGAATATTTGAGGAGCATTAGAATCAGCTGTTGGACAGCTGAGTACTTAATGGGGACAAATGTAGGTCTAGTGCTTTCTTACTTACTAATGTTTTACGTTTAATGCGTAATAATATCTATACGTTATCACTTCTAAAGAATCTGTTGTAACATAATTAAATTTTGTTTATTTGCATGATTACCCATAAATCATTGGGCAATTAACAAAGAAAGAAAGATAAAAACAAGGAAACAAGCAAACACATATATACAAACAAAAGAATAGACAAAGAAAATTGTATCATTTAGACAACAGTGAAAATCATACTGATAACACTAGTAAACGAGCTAAAATAATAGAACTAATCAATAAGTTTGCGTTAACAAAAACAATTAAGTTAATTCTGTTGTAATAATTCAAAGTCTGTAAGCAGGAACTTCTCGCCAGGCCACAGTTTTGCGTGTTGAAATCTGAGTTAAAAGCAGCAGGCTCAGTTGTTCTTAATTTCTGGTCTTGTGCTTTTCTTTTCTGGCTCAACAGTTCTAAAGATTTTACGATTTTTTTTATTCTTCTCATTCAGAGTCTGAATATATCAAAACGCTAAAAAAAGATTTTATTGCATAGGGACTTAAAACATAAAATGCCCTTGTGCACTGAGCTGTTCCTAAAGAGAGAGGGTTCATAAATTAATTTGCGTCTTAGGTGACACATGTTAATTGATATTCTCAGATTCTCTGATGTGTCAACGAAGTTTGGAACATTAAGACCTTGGTTTCTTTGTCTTCATACAGATTTTATGCATAACGTACACACTGAAATTACGTGAGACTTGAGACAGTCTACACTTTCCCGTAAATTCTCACGTTTAATGCCACTATATAAATTTATACACCCCCTCGTTGGTGTCTCCACCTTATCGTGATGAGGGGGTTTGAGTATGCCAAGGACCCTGAGAGCTATACCAGCGGTAGCGTAACTACTGTCAGGGCCTCTCTTGCTGGACAGGTCAAAGGGTAGGCATCAGACGAAGAGAGACACCAAAAACTGATGCCGGAAGCAGCGTCATCAGCAGCGACTTGAAGCACAGAGCAAATGAAGCTCGAGATGGTTCAAGTTCGCATAGCAACAGGCGTGACCAGAGTGGTTTGAACGGCTGTTGTACTGCGATGTGGAAAGTAAATGGAAAAACTACCACATTATCACTTTTCCTGGATAGTCTCTTTCCAAAAACAGAAGATCGCATTAAGTGGAGGAACTGTTTTGGAAGAGACGGTGGACCTGTCGTCTGACAGATTACTGATGAATGAATGAATAAATAAATATAAAACCCAGATACAAAAGCATGAACATGACATGCATAAGTATGCAGACCGGATCCCTAAAATAGTCGCTAATTTAGTAGCGTTGGTGTTTTTTCTTACCGGTTCCATTGGCCAGAACACTGATTTTAAAACAAACCATGTTATTTGAGATGTAACAAATAACATCAGAGTATTGTGTATGAACACTAAACACTTCTGAATTAAGTAGACTAGATGGATGAAGAGCTCTGGCATTAAAGGAGGAACATAAACTGAGGGTGTTTGAGAACAGGGTGTTGAGGAGAATATTTGGACCGAAGAGGGATGAAGTGACAGGAGGTTGGAGAAAACTGCATAACGAGGAGCTTCATAACTTGTACTCTTCTCCAAGTATAATTAGAATTATCAAGCCAAAGAGGATGAAGTGGGCAGGGTATGTAGCACGAATATGGGAGAAGAAGAATGCATATAGGATATTGGTGGAGAAGCCAGAAGGAAAGAGAACAATAGGAAACCAAGACGTAGGTGGGTGGACAATATTAAAATGGATCTTAGAGAGATAGGGTGGGATGGTTTGGATTGGATTGATCTGGATCAGGATATGGACAAGTGGAGGGCTCTTGTGAACACGATAATGAACCTTCGGTTTCCAGAAAATGCTGGGAAATTCTTGAATAGCTGCACAATTGGAAAATCCTCAAGAAGGGCTCATCTCCATGAGTGAGTGAGATGGATGAAGAGGGAACTGAATTACGGAAATTCCAGTTTTAAGGGAAAGCTTTTCAGCCATCTGTACTCCTTTCAGTCTGAAGGATAATAACTTCGTAGGTTTATAATCAAGTCAGAAAAAAAAATTATATAAGTATGGACTAAACTTGTACAGTTTCTGAATCCTATCATGCAGTGAGCTTGTTGGTTTGTGAGGTGTTTCAGTACTGAGATTCATCTTGGAAGTATGTGTATTTAATGGATTATGTTCCTTTCAGTTTGCGCTGAAGGAAGGAAATTGAACTACATAAAGAATATAATTATTTGTTATGTATTATCTAAAGTTACAGTTCTTCTAACGAATTAGAGAACACGTATAAAACATATGCCGCCTCTGTGGTCTAGTGGTCAGAGTTCCTGGCTACAGATAAAGAGGTTCCGGGTTCGATTCCAGGCGCTATCAGATTTTCTGTGAAGTAGTGCGTCTGGAACGGGGTCCACTCAGCATTGCGAGGATAATGGAGGAGCTACTTGAATAGAAAAGTAGCAGCTCCGTTGTAGAAAACTGAGTTTAACGGCGTGGTGATTTGTTGCGCTGATCAAGTGACACCCTCTATCCGCTAAAGTTGGCACTAGATTCGCCGATAAGCGGCGGTCGCTAGGTCGGTATAGTTCGCTCGCGTACTATAGGCCACGGAGTTTATTTTGTCTGTATAAGACATATACTACATGCAGTGTCTGACTTGTTTTTCGTATCCTAAACACTCACCGAGAATGTGCTGCCGTCTGGGAACACGAGGTAACGTTTCCTGCGTGAGTGTGTGGTCACATCATTTATATCGTCGTAAGAGGACTGGCACAGTGTGCAGAGTTCAAGCACAGAGAGCAGGAAGAGGAACACCAGCCGGTATCCATGCATACCAACCTGAGAATGAAAACATTTTGTGACCCCAGTTTTTTGATCGATCAGCAACCGCAAAATAATTCAGAGGAATATACAAAAATAATTCTGATATTTATGTCCAATCTGGAAATTTTTCATTTGACGTAATTTACCAAAGGTCCGTTAAGCAAATTTATTACTATATAATTAATATATTACTTAAAACAGAACAAATCAGCTATCACGTCCCGTCTAACGCAGCACAGAGAATGTATAACATTCAATTTGTTTTATTCATGTTTGGACCATTTTCTTTGGTCATCATCAGATGAATAAGAGCTCTTTACCTCTATTTTTCCCCTTGGCAATACAGCCCCAGTGGGCCTAGACCTACCTCCATGAACTTCTCCGTTCACTTCGGTTTTTCTAGATCTTACACATTTGGTAGGACTCCTTGGATGGGTGATCAGCTCGTCGCAAAGCCTCTACTTGTACACAATCACAGAAAAACGCACACACACAAACTAAACATCCATGCCCTGAGTGGGATTCGAAACCACGATCCCGGTTTCCAAGCGAGCGAAGACAGTACATGCCTTAGACCGCTCGGCTACCGTGACCGGCCTTTACCTCTACTATGATCCCATATTTACAAGGTACAACGACTTCTGGGCCCATATGAGAGGTAAAGTGCTTTACAGTTCCGTAGAAGCACTTGTTAAGCGTGTATTCACCTGATTATAACCAGATAAAATGGCCGAAACGTGTTGTGAATTTAATTAAATAAATTGAATGTTATAGATTATGTGCTGCGTCACACGGAACGTGATATTTGATTGGTTTGATCACGCAACAGGATTCATTTCATAAAGAGTGAAACAGAAGGTTTGATTCCTCTAAAAATATTAATCTCTTGGAAAGTATTCTCGGATAACTCAGTTCTCAATTATACGTTTAATCATGACACACAATAAAATGCAGATAACAAAGATCGAAGTAATTCTTGGTCTCCAAACTTCTTATATTCTGTAATATATTCACGTATATTCTGAAAAAAAAAAAATAAATATTGTTATCAAGTACTTCTCTTTTGCCAGTATTGTAGAAAAATTAACGGTTAATGTCGAAATGATGCTTTAATCCAGCATCATATATTCACTTTTACACACAAAGTTTAATTTGCTTCACACCTGTGTTCTCACCTGAATTTATATTTAACTCGTGCACAAACGTTCTTGAACTAACCACGATCGTTTTATAGATTTCCTTCAGAATTATCCATAGACAGAAACTTCTTCAAGCTCTAACGTGTTCTGATCACCTCTACTAGTGAAATCTGAACAACATTTCTACATGTTCTCTGCTCCTAGACTCATACTCTCTATGCGTATGTGAATGCGAGTGTCCTAGCTTAGTAACGGCTGTGATGACAAGGATTATAATTGAAACTAATTAAGTTAATTAACAGAACATAGGTGACGCATGACATTTGGGATCCTTTGGCATGAATTTTAAGTACACAGACCTCTGCAAAGAGCGCCATAAGCAAAGATAAAACTTCACATTTTCCATATGGAAATGAGAGCACTAATTACATACGAAAATATAAAGGCAGGTAAGATAATTTGTTATAAAGTAAATTGTGAAGATTGTGTTAAAGTTGCTCTAACTATTGCCTCGCAGTACGTATTCTACTTCACTACTTTATTGGATCGCTGACAATAATTTCGTGATTACAATATTAATTGGTACTCTTTCAATTACAATAAACATATATCTATGTTAGGTAGTAGTTATTGCCCTTAAAGATACCTGAATTAATCTTATTGTGATGCGTAATTTGTAATTAGAATAAAATCTTCTAGTGTGCACACAGCTGTAAAATCTATGTTGATAATTCTATCACAGAAACAACGAAACAATAAAATGCTTCACTTAATTATGTATTAGAAAACTTAATCAGCCTCAATGTTCCCACATCGTTACATCCATAAATTTACTTGGACATCTCCTGATGGGAAGATACACAATCAAATAGACCATATTTTGATAAATAGGAGACGGCACTCAAGTATACCCGATGTCCGATCATTCATGGCAGCAGACTGTGATACTGACCACTACCTGGTGGTGGCAAAGGTTAGGGAAAGACTGGCAGTGAGTAAATAAACAACTCACAGATTTCATATGGAGATGTTCAATCTCAAGAAATTAAATAATGTAGAGGGTGAAGGGCAGTATTGTGTTGAAATCTCAAATAGGTTCGCGGCTTTGGAAAACTTGGAAACTGAGGTGGATGTTAATAAAGTTTGGGAAACTATTAGAGAGAATACAAAAATGTCAGCCAAAGAGAGTCTAGGTAATTATGAACAGAAGAAACATAAGCTATGGTTCGATAAAGGAAGCTCAAAATTATTAGATCAAAGAAAGCAGACCAAATTGCAATGGTTACACGATCCAAGCGAGTTAAATGGGTATAATCTAAACAATATAAGACGTGAAATCAGCAGGCATTTCAGGAAAAAAAAGAGGGAATATCTGAAAGACAAAATTTATGAGCTTGCAATGAACAGTAAGAAAAAGAACATTAGAGACTTGTATAGAGGAATAAATGACTTTAAGAGGTGTTACCAGCCTAGCAGTAACTTAGTGAAGGATGAGAATGGTGATCTGCTTGCAGATACCCACAACGTTTTGAATAGGTGCAGGAACTACTCTTAAGTTATTGAATGTACATAGGGTCAGTTATGTTATGCAGGCAGAAAGCGATACAGATGAGCCGTTAATACCTGATCCTAGCCGTTTTGAAGTTGAAAGTGCTCTTGCAAAATTGAAAGGGTATAAATCACCAGGTAGTGATCAAATTCCAACAGAACTTATTCAAGCAGGAGGCGAAATATTACGTTCTAAGGTCCAAAATCTAATTACTTCTATTTGGCATAAGAAAAAATTGCCTGATCAATGGAAGGAGTCTATTATTATACCAGTTCACAAGAAGGGTGATAAAACTTACAGTAGTAATTATCGGGGAATATCACTGCTATCAACTTCATATAAAATTTTGTCCAATATTCTTCTTTGAAGGAGAGCTGCTGCTCTCCGCAGCTATTCAACTGCTCTGAAGATGGAGGCGCTACGTTCCTCCGAAACGTCGGCCAAAACGAATACTACACGGTGCCTAAACCCTTTCTTCACTGTCATCGTCGTGAAAACCTCAAAACTTACATAGGAAACAGATGTTTTGAAAATTCAGATATTTGGGAACAACGATAACAGATCGAAACCTGATTCAGAAGGAAATTTAGAGGAGATTGAACTCGGGTAATATTTGCTACCGNTTGGCATAAGAAAAAATTGCCTGATCAATGGAAGGAGTCTATTATTATACCAGTTCACAAGAAGGGTGATAAAACTTACAGTAGTAATTATCGGGGAATATCACTGCTATCAACTTCATATAAAATTTTGTCCAATATTCTTCTTTGAAGGAGAGCTGCTGCTCTCCGCAGCTATTCAACTGCTCTGAAGATGGAGGCGCTACGTTCCTCCGAAACGTCGGCCAAAACGAAGAATACACGGTGCCTAAACCCAGAAGACAACTTTCTTCACTGTCATCGTCGTGAAAACCTCAAAACTTACATAGGAAACAGATGTTTTGAAAATTCAGATATTTGGGAACAACGATAACAGATCGAAACCTGATTCAGAAGGAAATTTAGAGGAGATTGAACTCGGGTAATATTTGCTACCGTTCAGTCCAGAACCTTTGCTCTTCCCGTCTGCTGTCTAAAATATAAAAATTAGAATAAAGAGAATTAAAATTTTGCCTGTGGTTCTCTATGGGTGTGAAACTTGGTCTGTAACATTAAGGTAGGAATATAGACTGAGGATATTTGAGAACAGGATGTTGAGGAGAATATTTGGACCGAAGAGAGATGAAGTGGCTGGAGGTTGGAGAAAACTGCACAATGAGGAGCTTCATAACTTGTACTCTTCTCCAAATATAATTAGAATGATCAAGTCAAGGAGGATGAGGTGGGGAGTGCATGTAGCACGAATGCGGGAGACGAGGAATGCATATATATTGGTGGTAAATCCGGAAGGAAAGAGAACACTGGGAAGACCAAGACGTAGGTGGGTAGACAATATTAAAATGGATCTTACAGAGATAGGATGAGATGGTATNTAGAGGAGATTGAACTCGGGTAATATTTGCTACCGTTCAGTCCAGAACCTTTGCTCTTCCCGTCTGCTGTCTAAAATATAAAAATTAGAATAAAGAGAATTAAAATTTTGCCTGTGGTTCTCTATGGGTGTGAAACTTGGTCTGTAACATTAAGGTAGGAATATAGACTGAGGATATTTGAGAACAGGATGTTGAGGAGAATATTTGGACCGAAGAGAGATGAAGTGGCTGGAGGTTGGAGAAAACTGCACAATGAGGAGCTTCATAACTTGTACTCTTCTCCAATATAATTAGAATGATCAAGTCAAGGAGTATGAGGCGCGGAGTGCATGTAGCACGAATGCGGGAGACGAGGAATGCATATATATTGGTGGTAAATCCGGAAGGAAAGAGAACACTGGGAAGACCAAGACGTAGGTGGGTAGACAATATTAAAATGGATCTTACAGAGATAGGATGAGATGGTATGGGCTGGATCAATGTGGCTCAGGATTAGAGACCAGTGTAGGGATCTTGTGAACATGTTAATGAACCTTCGGTTTCCAGAAAATGCTAGGAAATTCTTGAGTGGCTGTAGAATTGGCGGCTCCTCCAGAAAGTCTTACCTCCATGCGTATTTTTTTTTATTTCTAGTAGGGTGGGGCTAAGACCCTTGTACTGAGGCCACTTCTGGCCTATTGTACCAGCCCCAGATGATAGGTGAGGGTGATTGTGGAGCAATTGGTGGAATGAAGATTTGGAGGGGAAATCGAAGTACTCGGAGGAAACCTGCTCCAGTTCCACTTTGTCCACCACAAATCTCCCTTGACCAGACCCGAGGTCGAACCCCGATGGAAATCCAGCGACTAACCTCTTGAGCTATAGCGCGGCCTAGCTCAATGAGTAAGTAAGTAAGTAAGTAAGTAATCAGCCTTCTGTATGTTTATTAGAAGAAATTGTCAGTTATAGAAATAAGGGAGAAAAAAACACAAGTTTTCTCTTCTTATTCCTGGAATTAAAGTGGCATTTGACATTTGCGCAGTTATTTCATACGTAGCCAAAAAAATTCACTACTAATATGTACACAGTTGTTCCTGTACAAGTTCCCAGAACATATCAGTTCCTCTCGACTCGATATATTTGTGTGCCTACATGAAACATTGAAAGTAAAGATTAATGCATTTTAAAGTAAGTTATTTACACTGGAGATCCTAGAGTTTTCCTCAGAGCAGTCATAGAATATGTGTGGTGGGCCGTGAGGCATTACGCTCCTTAGAAATTTTATTAATTTGTATCCAAGCTTTTTTTCAATTTCTGATTTGTAGTGGTTCTATTCCCGGATCTTAATTATACTAGAGGACTGACTGGTCAAGACGTATACGAAGCTGTAGGCCATGTCTTGGGATCCATATTTGATCTACTATATAACTGCAAATACAGCAGACCTGGGTATAGCAGAGCGGAGAGCGTGTAGTCAAGTGATAACAAGTGATCAGAAGAATTGCTGCTTGCCGTGACTATTAATGAGCTCAGAGCTTCCTGTCTTTAAAATAAAAATACATTTCAATATTCGCTATACACAAAACTTCATCCTAACCACTAAGAGACTGTATCATATTAATTTAGTTACATTTTTGAAAGCCTTCTAGAATGTTAAAGCAAGTGTCACGTAACTTCGACCAAGGCCAAGAGTAACCTTGAGTGCGCAGAAGAAACATTTCAGACAAGCGGGTGGACTCGAGGGTGTGAGAGGTGACAGGCGGCCAGTTGTTTGTATTATTAATACATATTAGTGATTTTTATTAGGATACATTTATTTTAAGTGTGAGATATCATATTCACAAATGATAGGCAAAGTTGCAGTGGTTACAGTTCCTGGCTACAGATCCAGAGGCCCGGGTTCGATTCCCGGAGCTATCAGATTTTTTTTCTGAGAAGTAGTGAATCTGGAACGTGTTCCACTCAGCCTCGTGATGATAACTTAGGAGCTATTTCAAGGAAACAGCGGCTCCGGTCTAGAAAACCGAAATTAACGGCCGTGGGGATTCGATGCCCTGACCACGTGACACCCTCTATCCGCTAAATTTGGCACTAAACTTCGCAGACAAGCGACGGTCGCTCGGTCGGTATAGTTCGCTTGCGGACTAAAACCACAGAGTTTATTTTTTGTTTGAGTGGCGAAGTTGCACGTACTACACAGTGAAACAGTTTCGGCAAATAGACACTTGATAATGGCCGTATACAGCCGAAACATGCAGAGAGAGGGAGCTAATAAACGAGTTACATTGGGTGAGGAAGTGGAGTATGTGAGTGAAGAGTAATGAATATATACTGAAGTGAAACATGTGAACAAACATTTGTCTGATATTGTATCTTCCCCATTCATAATGTCTTACTGTTCATTGCCATCAAACTTCAGCTTTTGCTTGGTCACTAAGAAGGACCATGCAACCCTTTTTTTCCTTGGCACTACAGCCCCAGTGGGCCTAGGCCTACCTCCATGAACTCCGTTCACTTCAGTTTACTAGATCTTACACATTCGGTAGGACTTCTTGGGCGGGTGATCAGCTCGTCGCAAGGCCTCTACCTGTACACAAACACAGAAAAAGGCACACACACAAACTAAACATCCATGCCCTGAGTGGGATTCGAACTCACGATCCCGGTTTCTAAACGAAAGAAGACAGTACATGCCTTAGACCGCTCGGCTACCGTGACCGGTCCAAGCAACCCATAAGAGATTAAAATTAAGTGGAACACATTACTTTCCGGCTTGTTCTAATGTTAATTTACTGAGCAGAAGGTAAATACACAAATCTTTTGTTGAACACTGGTATGGACTTAGGTCTGGAAGTTAAAGCACAGGAAAGCAAGTATATCTCCTACTTCATCATCAAATCATGGGCCATCATAATATAAAATCGATAATAGATTCTTTGAAAATCCTGCAGATTTCAAATATGGAAAAACGACATTAACACATCAAAATAGCTTTCATGAAGTTACTAAGGGCAGATTAAAATCAGGGAATACTTGCCACCTTTCAATTCCGAACCTTTTGTCTTCGCCTCTGCTATCTAGAAATATACCGATTAATATACTATTTGAAGAACCTGTAATTTTTCTGTAGTTTTGTACGGTTGTGAACCACTTACTCTTGTATTAGTGAAGGAACACAGGCTCAAGATGTGTCAGAACTGAGTGCTGAAGACAGTACTTTGACGTAAGAAAGAAGGAGATACAGAATAATGGAGACAGTTACGTAATGAGGAGCTTCAGAATTTGTACTCCTGGCCAGATATTATGATGATCAAGTCGAGGTGAATGGGATTGGTATGACGTGTAGCACATGTTTGAGAGAAAATAAAAACTTACCGTACTTGGGTAGCAAACTGTAAGGGAATATGAGCGATTTTAAAAACTAGGCGTAAATGGATGGATAATATTAGTTCAACTTAAATAAATAATTTGGAGATATAAACTAGATTAATCTGGCTACGGATAGAGACAAGTGGCCGACTGTTGTGATCACTGTAATGGAGATTTCAATAAATAGTTGGAAATTTTTTAAATAGCTGAACAACAATTAGGTTTTCAAGAAGCATTCACCTCTATGGGTTACATTAGTTAATAATCCAAACACAATTCGACCGTAAGGAATTATATTGTCACGTGTCTTGGGTGTATAACGCGACAAATAACTTCACGCCGTATTTGGTATGGCGAATTTTATTTCACATTCGCACTTACAATCACCCAAATTACAGATCCACAATTACTGCTATCTGCAGTATCACAAATACTACACTCCAAANCGGCGGGGGGGGGGGGGGGGAGGAGCGTCATCCATAGCTCAATATGTCACAATATAATAAAAGTAAATTATTGTAATATTCTCTTTTAATCTACCACATTACATTATGATTATGTACAATGCGAGAGTTAAGACTAAATTACTTATGTAGACCTGCGCACAATGTTTCCGTCGCTGGTCCATATCCGACTACATAGATTACATGTTCCGTCTGCCACAATTAGAATAATATTTGAAATGTATAATTTATATTAACCCTGTAACTTTGTCATTATCGGCTGTTTGTGATACGAATAGCAAGATTCGTGCTGATTTAATCATAAAGCAAGTATTCCAGCAAGGAAAATGGACAGCGCTTTTCAAATGACTTGCAGAACATTTCACTTCTGGGCCCATTGTATCCCTCCGCTTCGAATTCATCTCCTTGTCCACTTGGGATTCTGAAAAATAAAATAGCAGAATATAAATATCACTAACCCATAAAAAAACTCGATGATTTTAGTCCGCAAGCGAACTGTACCGACCGAGCGCCCGCCGCTTGTCGGCGAAGTTAGTGCCAAATTTTGCGGATAGAGGGTGTTGCGTGGTCAAAGCAACGAATCCCCACGGCCCTTAATTTCGGTTTTCTATACCGGAGCCGCTATTTCCTTGAAATAGCTCCTCAATTATCACCACGAGGCTAAGCGGACTTTGTTCCAGAACCACCACTTCTCAGAAAATACCTGGTAGAGCCGGGAATCGAACCAGGACCTCTAGATCTGTAGCCAGCAACACTGATCACTAGACCACAGAGGCGGTCAACACTAACTCCTACACGAGATTTAATATTTGACTGTGGTGTCTGTTCGCATTGTCTCCTGGTCTGTGTCATTGTGGTCTTGCGCTGAATGCCGACGTTTCGGAGGAACATGCTGCTTCCGTCTTTACGCTTAAGTGCGTAATATTGCCTCTCCTTTTATATTACTGGTTGTGTGTTGAGATTTATAGGTTGGTGATTCAACTTTGAAGATGAATGCAGATCAGTCCCTCCATATGGAGAATACAGTAAGATTGTGTTACAATTAATTGTAGTTCCGCCTGATGAACATTCAATAAATCGATTCACCTAACCCGGAACTCATTAAGTACTTGTCGGTTTAGCAGGTCACGTGACAATATCAGAGTCTACTTCTGAAACAATGTGAAGACAGAGGCAAAGATTTGGACTTCATAACAGCAAGAAATCTTTTTACCATATAATTAGGAAATTCCGAAGAGGAATCTTCAATATATAATTAGTTTAGGATAATTTTGTCCTTAGTCCTGAGATACCCGAAGGACTTTCAAATTGGGTATAATTTTTAAGAAAGCCGTCTTCTGGGACGTGTCGCCGTGGCAACAGACTCTGTTGCACCTGCTCACGTTGGTTCGCTCGCTGATTTCTTCTTGTCTTCTACCCTGAAGATGGAGGCAATACGTTCCTCCGAAACGTGGTTAACACCACATCTACACCGTGCCACATCCCAGAAGACTGCTTTCTTCACAGTCAGCGTCGTGAAAACCTCAAATCTTACTTACGTGAACACGGTGTGTAGGATATCTTCTACAAGTGACCGCCCAGGTTTTAGAACCCTTTTGGCTTCGCAAAGCGTCCTGATTAAGCATGGACGACCTTCAACGCCAAACCTAACAAAAAAAACAATCTATTGAAACAGTTGCGTACGAGTATGTAAAGGGAAGCCCCCTTCAGTTTACATGCGGACACAGACGGCGTGAAGCGGTGCTTGGACGGAAAACGAGTGTTCGTACATCCCAGACTATGCAGTTCTATGGAAAAGTGTGAAAGAAGACGTAACTAAGAATCATAAAGACAAATAGAATGATCGAGTTAATGTGAACTTTAGCTAAACAGGATGGGAAGAGCGTGAACCTGATTCATCTTAATTTGCGTTGCGCCTAGTGATGAGCTCTTGTGAACATCGCGGTGGACTTAGGGCTCTGTAATAGACGTGGAATTTTTGAACAACTGAGCAATTTTCAGCCTCTTATGAGCTATACTACTCAGGTGAGATGGTCGATTTTGCGAAAGTAACAAGGGTAACAAGGATCTGTCCCCCTTTGTTCTCAGTTCATACCAAGTGAATTCTCTCACAGCCATGTGATTTAATTGAAGCCAGGACTATTTAAGAATTCATTAAATGTCTACGCAAACCTTTATACTAATTTTCACTTCTGTTTGGAGGTCACTGGCTTATACGTATCAACTTTCATTGTGGACTATTAATATAATAATAAGATTAACTCAAAAGATACCCTTTGCTTTCCTTGGGGGCGAATGCTCGAATGAATATTTTAAACTCGTCGATGGATATACGAGTATAAGATAAGACATAAAGCGAATGAATGTGGATCTACTAGCCACGTGTAATAAAGGCAACTAGACAAACATGTTTAACCGTGACAAAAGCAGATATTCGAATAATCTCTCTTCAGTAGAAGGGTAAAATTGTTCCTGTGCTTAATTAATTAAGCACTATGCCATGGAGATACAGGAGGAGTGGAGGTACAGACCCAACATTCTTGACCTTGGGGCTAGATGGAGGTGAGTGGTCTGCTTCAAACCCCGGGTTCTTTACCTTAGGGGAAAGAGCCCACGAAATCCATTGGATTGGAGACTGTGTGCCCAGAGCTAGTCTGGACACTGTGGAGAATGGAAAAATGTTATCAACCCCTAGAATCTAACCCCTGCTGTCCAGCTTGTAGCCCGTCGGTATACCGACTGAGCTATCCAGACTCCTTTTCAGTACATAACAAAATAATATAAGGTACGTGAAGGCCATGAAGCGACATACTCGTACTTACAGTTGTTACAGGCTTAAGCTTAATCCATGGAAAGCAAGGAAAGAGATAAGTAGCGCAATGCTGTGTAGGGTTGAGCCGGAATCCTTTATTCTCCCACTTGTTTCCAGTTTTCTGTAGAAGCCGTCATTGTTGTGTGAATGAAGAAAGGTACAATGAAGTGCACTGAAGGATTCATCTCGCAATTTGGACCGCGCAACACGCAACCCGCAACCCTGAATCCGCATCAAGCAGCCCTCAACCTGCAACTCGCAACCCGCAACCCGCAACTCGCAACCAGCAACCCGCAATCCGCAACCCGTAGACTGCAACCCGCAACCCGCAACATGCAACCCGAAACCCGAAACCCGCAACCCGCAACCCGCAACCCGCAACTAGCAACCCGTAACTCGCAACCAGCAACCCGCAACCCGCAACCCGCAACCCGCAACCCGCAACCCGCAACCCGCAACCCGCAACTAGCAACACGTAACTCGCAACCAGCAACCCGTAACTCGCAACCAGCAACCCGCAACCCGTAGGCCGCAACCCGCAACCCGTAGCCCGCAACTTGCAACCAGAAACCCTCAACACGCAACACGAAACCCGCAACCCGCAACCCGTAGCCCACAACCCGCATCCCGTATCTCGCAGCCCTCAACCCACAATCCTCTACCCGCAACCCGCAACTCGCAACCCGTAACTCGCAACCAGCAACCCACAACCCGCAACACGCAACCCGAAACCAGCAACTCGCAACCTGCAATCCTCAACCTGCACCACGCACCCCGCACCTCAGCTGCTACTTACAGGTCTAGCAGGCACTCAACGTTGCGGAAGAGCTCCAGCCGCTCGCTCCTGTGCAGGCGGTAGCTCCTCTGGTTTCTTCTGGTCCTGGACCCGTAAAACACTCGAGAGTTGTTAGGGAGCTTGAACCCAATGTCTGCCTCACACAGGCTGTTCCAGGATGGACGTGGTAAAGGGCTGTAGTCCCAGATGTACGAGTTCGCAAACGAGAGATTTAACTGCGGCAATCAATAAAGAGACTTGTTACCATATGGAACATGCAGACAGAGGTCTGGATGAAATGGACCAAGTGTTGAGGCCGGGCAAATGTGAGCACGTAGATTTTACATCCTAACTTTGCCCCTGCCCACTTCAGTTTTGTGTGTGTGTGTGAAGCATGTTGAGGCATGTTTTGTCGAATATTAAGCGTAAAGGTTTGACAGTTTTCATTATGTCTTTTCCAAATCGAAATAATTTAGGCTTTACAAAAGTAGAAATTCCATCGAAGAAGGTCTAATATAGAAACTGAAATTAATTAAAACTTATGCTCACATTTCTGAAAGGATATTTCAGTGTATGGTTTCCAGAAATGTTTCGCGGATATGCAAGAAGCGTCAGGATATGTCCAGCGATAAAGTTAGTACCTCGTATGTGGTTTCAAGTATTCACGGTCTGTGAGAATAATGCATCGAAGAATACCATGTGGCTACTTGAATGGCAGCATATATAAATTTGCTAGTGGAGGGTGGAGTCCAACTGGGTCCACTCGGCACGGCGGCCACTGCTTGGCCTATTGTACCTGCCCTGGGTGATTATGATGATGGAGAATTTGGTGGAATGAAGATTGGCAGGGGAAACCGAAGTACTCGGAGAAAACACGCCCCAGCGCCACTTTGTCCACCATAAATCCCACTTGACCAGACCAGGGATCGAACCCGGGCCTCCGCGGTGGGACGTCAACGACCAACCGCTTGAGCTATGGCGCGGCCAAATGAAGGTTTAGTCAGTAAGACATTTTCTCGCTGCATTGATTATTACGTTACTATGTCAGGCTGAGACGCTAATATGTGGCCAAATAAACCACTTACCACAGCAGAACTTCCTTCTGGGAAAGACAGGTATCTCTTCTTCCTGGACAGTACCTTTTGGTTTTTAGCAGATTTCACCTCGCAGCTACACAGTTGATTCAGATATATTATTATCATCATGAAAATAACGTATTGTTTCATGTCAACAGGTTCACAGTTTGTGAGGGATGAACTTCTGTAAAGCAGAGAAGATATATTAAAATTTTAGTTGCCTCCTGCAATGAAAGTATGAAATGTGTGTTCGAAAAGCCCGAAGAAATATATGCCTGCTCATGTAATATGCATTGTTCAGAGGTTTAACTAGATATACTCGTATTTGGGAACGGGTCTATAAATGTTGGCTCGTTACCGACTTCCTCACTAAATTTCGAGTCTGGGAAAGAAATTCGGATATTTTTACAAGAACGTAAGTTCATTTTTAATCGAAGCTAAAGATCTAAATATTCAAATTTCATTGTCACGTGTAGGGTGACTATGTAATTAGAATGATGAACTCCAGGGGGATGAGATGGACAGGACATGTAGCACGAATGGGAGAGAATGGGAATGCATATAGGATAGTGGTAGGAAGGCCAGATGGAAAGAGACCACTGGGAAGACCAAGACGTAGGTGGTTGTGCAATATTAAAATTGATCTTAAAGAGATAGGATTGGATAGTTTGGATTTTATTGATGTGGCTCAGGATAGGGACCAGTGGAGGGCTCTTATGAACACGGGAATGAATCTTCGGGTTCCATAAAATGCTGGGAATTCCTTGAGTAGCTGCACAATTGGCGAGTCCTCAAGAAGGGTTCAGCACCGTGAGTGAGTGAGTGAGTGAGTGAGTGAGTGAGTGAGAAGTAGGGGTTTTATATTGGCTGATTGGATTTAGTGACACTTCACTCGTATTTACAAGAAATACAGTGCTATCGCTAATCTACACATTTTGCAGACTGTTACACTCTCCACTAATCATTTCCTGGCAACGGATTTTAACACAGACACTGTGAAATTTACTGAATCACTCACTCCGAATATAGCTGTACTGCAGCACACATGAACAAATAAAGCTATCTCTTCACAATCGGACTTTCAACTCTCAACTGAACTCTTTCAATTCTTTCATCATCTGCCAACTGTGACCGTCCAAACCTGTTACAGTTCTCCGTGAGACGTTATGGTCCTCTTTAGCCATTTCGGTAGGGTGACTCGTTTATTGGCGAGACCGATTTATTAGCATGTTAAGACTTGTGTTTCATCTCTGGAAAAAACAACTGCCTTGTTTGTGTTTACATCCAGTTGGGGTGACCGGAAAGGGACAAGGTCACCACGGGAGACACGTTTAGTTTTCTGAAGATGTGAATTATGTTTTGCTATCATAAAGTGCCTTCGGAAGGGTGTAGCTGGACCCTAAACTAGAGGAAATAACCGCTCTCACATGTGGGGTTCCGAGATCTACATCTTAGGAACTGTTTCATTCTCAAAGTTCGTTACGCGATTGGCTTGTGCCGATTGCATGATGATTTTGGCTAGTTAAAAATCAGCCAATAAGAAATTAATTCTTGTATGGGGGAGAGGCCATCAATTTAGATCATTCTCGGGGGATGCTCCCGCAGGATAGCAGTCTTCAAAAACTTGGCTTTTAAATTGGTCGGAGGTAGACGTCATTGTGCTGCACTCCTAGGTCTCTCTAAATTCATCAGCCCCTCACTTTGGATAGTTAAAATTTGATAATTTTGAAGGACATGCTTACTCTGTGCTTGCAAAGATGTTATAATATTTCGCTTCTGAATAAATAAACAGTTTGTGGACAGTGGAGGTTGTGTTGTTGATTTCGAGCGGTGGACTGACCTCAAGTGTCCAGTTTCCGGTTGCCTCAGTTATTGCCTTAGCACGTTCCTGATAAGAGTCAAGTGAACTACCGAAGCCGGCACATAAGTACAAAGAAAGAGAAAGGGACGGCAGCACAAGTCTCTCGTTGCCATCTCTTCTAAATCATCTTAGATTGGCGACTCCTGAGACTCCTTAATTTCTTCTCTTTATACGAGCATAGCCTCGGGGCGACTATAACATAAAACAGCGTTCACTAAAAATTCCTCTGTTGTTATGGAGTTTTGTTTACCTCGCGGTTGCGTAGAAACAACATTTCTTCCATTGTTCATGCGTGTTCATTTCCGCAGGAAACTGTTTACCGAGTCGTTGCCTAGCACTGAGCATCTACTCTGGCTCCGCTTTTCCGGCTTTAAGGCGTCATGTCACAGTATATTTCAACATTCTTATGGTGGTTTTCTACAGTCTTCTTGTCGATGCAAGTAAATGCCTTAACGTAATGCAACATTACTAACGAATTTATGTTTCGTGGAGAAAACACTCCACTTTTTCTTAAAAAAATTGTAGTGAAATAATGAGATTGGTCTTTTCATAACAAGTGTTGAATAAATGTTTCACTTGACCAATGTTTCGTTATTTGTCGCCGCGGAATATCACAAAGATTGATGCATTAAAATCTGACTTCCAACAAGATAGCAGTGGACGCAGTTTTCCATTTTGGCCATAATAATTGGTAAAGGTCTTGTAGCAAGATGGCAGCACAGGGAAGTATATCATTGGCAAAAAAAGGTTATACATATATGTTGACAGTCATCATCATTGCCTTAATTATTCATAACGAAGTTTGAAACCCAAAGCAACAGAACGACAAAAATGATTTATGTGCTGACGCCAACAATGGCAAGAATGATTGGCCGAAAACTTAGCGTTTGAATAATTTTCTGGATATTTCAAGTTCAAAACTTCGCCCGGGTATCTGTTATTATACCTGAGATTTCTGCGTGGGTCTCCTCAGTCCCTTCATCTAAATACCGGATTACTTCCAAAAAGCAGAAGAAGATCTTCCTTTCGCATTTCTTTCGATTTGTCACACACTAACAATGTGTAATTAGACGCTATATGAACATGAGAAATGAATGACAAGGAATAAGGAATACAGGGAGGTTTGCCTCCTTTCTTCATACTTGACACATTGCTGTGATGCTTAAATAGATATGTACACTTTATGTAGGAAGTAAGTTGGTAAAATATTACTTTCATATTCTAGATGGCGGGGCACTCGGTAGCGTAGTCGATTGAGGCACTATACTACAAGCCGGAAGGTATCGGTTTCGAGTCCCAATGAGGCGAATTTTTTACAATTTTCGTAATCCTTCCAACCGCACAATGGCCCTGGGGTCGACTCAGCCTCTAACAGAAATAGTACCAGGAATATTCCTGGGGAGGGGTTAAAGGGCGGCCGGCGCGTAGGGCTGACAACCTTGCCGCCATCTATGAGCCGATTTTCTAGAAAATGTGGGAGCCTCAACGCCTCACAGCCCTATGGGCTTCGACGGCCTGTTACAGGGATAACCTTACTTTACCTTTACTCCAGATGGCGCTGTCAGAATTTGTGCTGATTACTCGTTATGTAGAACTTCAATTGATTGCGACATCCCTACCTTAGTTATTGTACCCAATATAATGAAGAAATTCTTAAAAGTTTTTTAACTTCGCTTAGTGGGGGGCGGAGTCCAACTGGGTCCACTCGGCACGGCGACCACTGATTGGCCTATAGTAGCCTGCGCCGGGTGATTATGAGGATGGAGAATTTGGATTGGCAGGGGAAACCGAAGTACTCGGAGAAATACCGCCCCAGGGCCACTTTGTCCACCACAAATCCCAATTGACCAGACCCAGGGTTCGAACCCGGACCTCCGCGGTGGGAAGCCAGCGACAAACTGCTTGAGATATGGTGCGGTCCAGTCATAACAGTTGGTTCGGCATGGTTGTAATCTCCATTGTGTCCTTAATACATAGTTGTTGAATATTTTCACATTAATCATGTGTTTAAATACATGTTTCTGCGATTATTTAATATTTTTTAATTAAGATATCCTGAAGGTCACCAATGGGTACTCTGTGCATATAGTATATTAGAAACGGAGAATGTATTCAGCTTGCAGAAGTTTCCTCGTTAAGAATAAGTTAACTCACGAAACAGAGAACAGAATAGTCATGCTCTACTTCACATAAAATTCAGAATATCACATACTTACGGTCTTTGCACAAAGTACTAGGATCGAAGGCTGCACTTTGACAGTAAATGTTACTACTTCAAGCCCCCAAATCTGTATTTCCCTTCTGCCTTAGTCTCTACTGGCAGTTACGCATGATGGGTGTGAACCAGCAAACAGTGAGAGATAACTCTGCAGAACTCAGAGTTCGTAAACCTCTGGAATTAATTTGTACACAGTGTGTTCCCTAAAAATGTACACGGAAATGTGTAAATAAATAGCTGGCCAGCGTTTCCCGTTACCGCTGTGTGCAGTGTCCATAGAGTTGCTTGTTTGCACAACGCTTTTGGTTGTCGTGAACATCTCCGCTTTGGCTAACAGGTCATGGCGTCCCCTTAATCATAACAAACGGCTTCCGTTAGAAAGTCTTCAGTTCTCGGAAGAAGAGATGCAAAGAAATTAAAAGTCAACTAATTTCGTGACGCCTCTACTGAAAGGGAAAATCAAAGGACCTAAGAATTGAGTACATCCTCAAAGTTTTTGTAGCTTGAGCGCACATTTCCAAGTTATGAAATCTATCTTTTCAGCTAAAATAAATTAAATATATATATGGAAGACATGCAAGAAGACAAAAATTAAATAAACATGAACGAGAAGCCTTTTGTCTACCTTCAAGCACAGAGTGAGGAGGCATTACTATTGATTTGGAATCTATATTTTGTTGTACCAAACATGGAATTTAATTCTTGAAATATTTAGAATTTTTCTGAAAATGATCATATTTTTGTTAAAGCTTTATAAACTTAAAGGGGATATTCAGCCCAATTATACAAAAAATACAGTTCTGCGTATTTGTGATTTGAGATCGTTATAAAGAAAATAACACTGGAAAATTAAATACGTGCATGGAGTAATTTGAAATACGTGAGTATCCTGTAGACATGAACCAAATTGTAGATATATCCCATCTGACCTTCTTATGAAGGGCGTCTCTTGGGCGTGTTGTCTTCTTGGTTGTAACGTCATGCAATCTGCCAGACTCCTACACAATCCCCTATCTTCGGGGTTGAAGAGTTGGCAAAGCAAACCAC